CCCCCCCCCCCCCCCCTTAATCTGAGACACTGCTGATGCATGCCAGCTGTGTGCTTTCGTACTCACCACCCTGAAACACAAACTCAGCGGCGAATCGTGAGAAGAGAACAGAGAGGCGCAGGTCACTGTACTCGTGGCTGCTTCGGGGACCTTCCCCGCTGTATCAGGAGGATTGCCGCATTTCGGTCGCAACTAAAGACACGGGCAAATAAAGCATCTCAAAGCTAGTTACTCTCGGATTAACAAAAAAAAAAAAAGTATCTGTGCTTCCTACCTGCCAGCTGTGGAAAAAATCTTCCAATGTGTTGGCCTGAGATCCATCGGGTAAAGGAAAATCGTTGCCTGCGTCATTGTCGTTGGTCCCCAACAGGCCGGTGGAGGCCCCTGTCCGGCAGACCGAAACATGCACCACGTGGCTCAGCGTTCGCTTATTGAGGCGCGTGCATTTGCAAGTTCTACGGGTTTCGCCCCTACCGTGTAACCATCCATCCAGGATGAAGCTGCACAGTTCGAGCGACAGGTCACATGACACCGACGCTCCGTTTTGATTGGCCACGTGCACAAAGTTCGGCCCTCTCCTCACGGTCAGTCCGCCATCGCCGTTGTAAGTGTGCGTGACGGGTTTGCTGCAGTCGGCCTTGACCTGCGACCCAAGAACATTCTTTACATCCATCCTTTATCGTTAACGCTTATTCCCTAATGGACTGGAGGCTATCCCAGTGGTCAATGGGCAAGAGGTGGGGTACACCCTGGACGGTCCACCAGTCCATTGCAGGGCAACACAGAGACACACAAGGACCAACAACCCCACAAACTCACTCCAAAGGGCAATTTGGAACGTCCAATCAGCCTTACATGCAGGTTCTTCGACGGTGGGAAGCTGGACAACCCGGAGAGAACCCACGCTGACAAGGGGAGAACTTGAAAACCCCACACAGGAAAGTCCTGGTTCCCCTGGGGACTCGAACCCAGAACCCTCTTGCTGTGAGGCCATGGTGCTAACCACCGCACCACATTCTTCACATGTGCATTTTTAGTTATACAAACCTGTTACGACGCTGCCATGGAACCCCCAAAAAGCCCACCGTAATTCACTTCTGCCGTGTCACCCACCTGGCCGCCGTGCTGAATGCCGATGGTACTATTGTTCATGTGGACGAGGAGGAAGTTCTGGGAGTCTCCGGCGAGCATCAGGGTGAACGAGGGGTCGCCGCTTACGTCTCGAGCGAGGAGCAGAGGGCAGAGGCCCGGCAGCTCGTACAAGTGTCCGTCGAACGTCACCACGAACTGATCCGCCACCAGCAGAGCTCGGTCTTTTTCGCAGGAAGACAAAAGAAAAGCAACAAAAGAAACGATTTGGAGGAGATCGGCACGAGTCTAAATGCAGTCCAAGCGCAGGTGTTCGCTATCTGACTTACATTAGGATCTCCTTGTAAAATTGGTAGCTTGTGTAACAGTCTGTTTGAAGCCATTGCTTCAGCTGGACAGTCAAGCCAAGATCTTTTAGATTTTCCCGTTAATGATAATGAACCACTGAGAAGATCCTGTTTCTCAGCCTGCTGCTCTTAAATGTCGGAAAGCTCTCCGTGTCAGCACGCAGCAGCGTTTTCCACATACCAAATGAAGGGCTGCATGTGTTCTGCCCGGACAATTCAACCGTAGTTTTATCAATCCACGAAGCTCCTCTTGGCTCTCACTTTGAGTGGATGAAAAGCTAAGTTCTTTTAGATTACTTTGTAATAGTTTCCAGCTTCGGAGTCATGAGGCTGCAGAGATCGGTTTTATTCGAGGGGCATGGTTCACATCAGCAGATGCTTTTCAAGAAGAGCAAAACACAAATGTTTTTACAAGTTGGACTCCAACCAAAACCACTAATGATTACCCTCCGATCGGATTTCAGGTTTGCAAACTCCGACTCCAGTCGGCCACAGTTTATCTAATAAGCCAAAACACACCGAGTGTTTAAACTTCATGCTCAATCTGGACCAGAGCAAAACAGAGATTTGGTGAATCGATAAATGAGGTTGTGTTCATAACTTTGATGGAGACCTGACCATAGTTTAACCGCAAATACAAGCGATTTCCCGCCAGTGTCTCTGAAGATGGATTTAATAACAGAATTGAGGAATTTTTTAAAAGAAAATTCCAATGCAATATACTGGAAAGCTGTCCAGGGTGTTTCCTTACTATAAAAGTAATCATCACATAATCCAAAATAATATTCTGGACTGCATTACTAATTGGTTGCAGGCAGAGCAGACACATCCAACTGTGATTAAAACCCGCCTAATCTAATCATTGACAGTCCGTCTTGAAAACAAAGCACTAGTTGGGTAGTTGGAAGATATGAGAAAAACGACCAGACATACAACATTTTGGGGAGACAATGCTATTTCTATATATTTGGACTGTACTGTTCTACTGTCAGACAAACAGTCTACGTATTGGACAACACTTGAAATAAAAAAGTGGAACCTTATTATTATCAAATGCTATTACTACAAATAGGAAAATAAGGTTTCCCTCTCTTTCTATAACCCAGAGGAACAATGAGGCGAATTTTATGTTTGCCAGGATAAACTTTGACGACCCTTTAGCATACCGTAAGAATTATTTTACATTTTTTTAAAGGGGGCTTTAAACTCCCTTAAAAAAGAAAAAACATGGAGGTAGTAGAATAACTTCTTGGGCTGTGTCCCCAAACTTGAAAAGGTTTAGTAGAAGCAACAAAGTTTTCTTTACTTTTATTTCCCTCAATCTGCAATATCTATATCTGTGTCCAAATTTTCTCGTTTCATGGTGCAGTCATCGATTGAATTATTCATGTCTTACGTATGAACGGGCTGTCCATGATTTTCCTCTTGAAGCGGTAAAGTTCCGCAGCAGGTCGGACTGAGGCGAGGGCCTGCAGGGGCCTCAGGAGCCACTCCTCCAGAAGGATCTCCACCACCCCCGCCTCTGCTTGCTCTGGGGAGGCCAGAGGTGGCAGCAGCACTGACACGGTCACTGCACAATCACTAAAAAGAAAAAAATTTTAGATTTTGCTTTAAATATTTTTGTAATCGAGCAGTACGTGCAATTTTGAGGCCTGAACTCGAATGATTAAAATAGCAAAAAAACTGATAATTTTGCAAAAGGCCTGTTTTCAGGCACAAACCTCCTTTCAATCCGAGCTACACACCTGCAAAGTTTCCCAGTTGTATCATGCAGGCTTGGTCAATTCGAAGCAACCTAACTGAAACACTCCCTAAAAAACGTGGCAACGCGCTCGACTTTAGACGGCAAAGTAAGCAGCGATATTTAACTCATCTAAAACTAAATGAGGAATATATCCCTGCCTTAACGTGGTTAGGCATTTTTATGAAGGGCGAGGCAAACGGGGCTTTCCCTACTTTAAAGTAAGTCTGAAGATCTGCGCACCTGGGAGAGAGTTTGTACACAGAGGCAAGTCGTTTCCTCAATCCGGACAAAGCTGTCGCCAGCCTGTTTTCAGTCCAGTGGTAGGTGTGTTGTCCCGCCTGAGTGATTGAGAAACCAAGAAATAGTTCAAATATGCACAGTCTTCTTGCTTATTACTGTTATATAGACGAATATATACAAAGATTTAATAAGGCAAGCAAAGTTACCTCTTTCTTAGCTGATTTAGCTTCACAATGCGGTCTGAATTATTTTCAGAAAAGTTGGGTAAATTTTTAGCAATTTCTTCATTGTCTGCACCTTTGCTCAAAATACTTTAAATCTTTTTCAATTTCCTTGTGTTAACCCCTTAACATCTTCACTGCCGCACTTTCTAAAATTTCTTTGGAGCAATAACAAACTGAATCAATGCCTTTTATCACAGACAGTTGGGGTGACACTTCATGGTAAAAATGTGAAAATGAAGGCATCACATATCTAAACCTAATTTTAGAGCTAGTTTAAGTAAGTGTCAACTTTACAAAAAGTGTTTTTTTTTTGTTTCGCGTTATTTAGAGTGTGGTCAGCCTATGACAGCTGTCTTGGGTGAGAGGTGAATCCATCACAGGACCACACAGATGCAAAAAAGACGCACACTGACATCTACAATCATTTTTTAATCATCAATTAACCTTACAGGCCTGTTTTTGGATAGTAGGAGGAAGCCGGAGTACCTGGAGAGAACTGGAAAATCATCCATCTTTCATAAACTTTGAATACTCTATTTCAAAGCCAGAGAACAATCTGGCCCAAGTAATGTCTATGGTATAAAACGATTTGATTGAAAGTCAGTGGAGGACAATTTTCTCACCACGTCCAGAAGGGCCCTGAGTACGGTGACCCCAGCCTGTGAGAGTGGCCTCAGGTGGGGGTTCTCCAGCAGAAAAGGCAGGGCATCCACCAGCCAGTCACTCCACATCACAAGAGCTTCTCTCCACTTTTCCTCCAAACTCTGGCCCTTCACATCCTGATACACACCTGCCAACGTGGCAAGGGGCACTGAGGATGGAAAGCAAACCACTGACCAACGTCGGAGGAACTAAAAACGAGAACTGTTATAAGACTTTAGTTATGGTGAACAAAATAGTAAGGAGAACCAGGGCTAGGGACAGCAGACAGAAATAACAGGTTGTTTAAATGATGAATAAAGAGGCGTGATGTTTTCAGTCATTCAATCATTTTTCACCAGCCCAGCAGACCACTTCGGTCTGCTGATCAACATCTGCTGGAGGTCCCAAGGTCCAGGTGCAAGCAGTGGGGTGACCGCTCTTTTGCAGTGGCAGGTCCTAAACTGACCTACCACCGTTCAAAGCTCAACTTAAAACGTATTTGTTCAGGATGGCTTTTTGTACGTAAAATCTCTGTATACTGGGTTCTGTCACTAATGTGTTTGTCTTTGTATATTTCGATAGTTTGATTTGTTTTTATTCTGTAAAGCACTTTGGTCAGCTCCGGTTGTTGTCAAGTGCTATATAAATAAACATTGATTGATATTGATTGATTGATTTTTAAATAAGAATAGGTAATAAAGTTTTAGGAAAATTCTATTTTTTTGGCCTGTAAGAAACAACATAGAGTGTGTTTTGCTCAAAAAGTAAAGTTTTTTTTAACATCTCATGGTTTACGCTAAGGGGAAGTGACTGGCCGGTCCACTGGTCCACTCATTAAGCTGGAAACTGCTAAGCGTCCTATCTGTGCACTCACTCCTCAGCTCCTGTTGTCCCAGCGCCGAGGCGTCCTGTAGCAGCCTCAGGAAGCGGGGCAGGCCGCTGGTCAGGAGATGACGCAGGGGCCCTCTGCGCCACAGGCTCAGCAGATCTCTTTCCCCCTGTCTCAGCAGCTCCTCGGCCCGCTGTGAGACACGAAGAGGAGCCGCGCTCCACTCCTGGAGCACCTCGCTGTAACTGGACTGTGGAAAAAAAGTAGAATTAAAAAAGCTTTGCGGCAACACATCCAAATTTAGATTGTAGCGCTGCGAGAGGGCACTAAGGCTTTTTAAAAAATATTTCCTTGCTTTTTTGTGTGTTTTTTTTGCATGCTTTCATGTGTTGTAATTGTGTCATTACCTGTTTCCTGAATTCAATGAGGAGATGCTGTAAAGCCTTTATTCTCTCTGCAAGTCTATTCCGTATCCGGTAGCCCAAGTAGTGAAGTCGTTCCTGTGAAATAAACAACGTCAACACGTGTCGACATGTGTCGGACATTGGGATGGTTTGATGTGGTCTTTAATACCTCTGCTGAAGTTAAACTCTGCAAACAGCCGCTTGCTTTCAGCTGTAGCCGCCGATTGACTGACCCCAGAGACACGGTCGCCAGGGTTTCAGGTTTTCTGCTCTGATCTGTTCTCTGCACCTCCATCCTCAGGCTGTTTGCACCCGCGCACGCCGCCATCTTTAGATCCTCACCGATGTCCGAACCTGCCCAGGAAAGGAGAAAAATCTTTGTGTTCATGGGACTTTTTTCATTTAGTGCTGACACTGTTGTCCTGCGTTTACCATTCGCGTAGCCGGCTGTGGTTCGAAGGCACCTGCCCTCCACTGATCCGTTGAGCCAGAACATTTCTCTGTGGTCCATCGTGGCCTGGATCTGGAGACCTGAACCGCGAGGCCAAGACATGGCACTGCCTCCAATCTCCACACTCCAGTTACCGACACTAGACTGCAAAGCGTACCGTTGTATTTGTATGAGCACCAGTGCTTTTTTCTGTTACATAATTTACAAAAATATATATTTCATTGAATCATTTAAGATTATTTTTAGAACTAGATTCGTCTATTTATTTCAGGTGTGTAGCAGTTTGTGCTGTGGCCTCACAGCAATATGGTTCTTGGCTGTGATCTACTCCAGCCCACCCACAACCCTGAATTGGAATAAGCAGTTATAGAAAATGCATAGAGGGATCTTTTTTGGCTCTGCTCTTTAAATTCCTGTATGAATTTCTACTTTATTATTTGAAATAAGCAGGCTGTCTTTCAGCGTGCCTCATGGGAAGACAGAATCCATTCCAATGGCCAATAATTCACTTCTAGCAACGGTTAAAAGCTCTTTTCCATGACCTTGTAAAAAACGTCATAGGGTTAAAGAGAGGTGATGGGAGGAATGAATAAAACCAATACTAAAACGATGACACTGTAACTCCAGTCGAAGAATATCAAACAAAAGACAGAAACCTGGACTGGTTTCGCCGAGTAGCAGAGATTGAGTGTGATTCTGACTCGTTCATCAAAAGGTTCCCAGTTCCCATTTTATTACCTTAGCTCAGGGTGAGAGGAGCTACTGACCCCTGTTCAGCATATGAGCCAAGTTAAACTAACCACCTGCTGGCTGTAGCGTCATTTCTGCTGTGCAGACAGAGAGTGATAAAAATCCTCTAGAAAGAGCAATTAAGCGTTCGTTATTATGGGATCAAGCTATTCACTCCAACTGACACACATTACATCTCTTTGTTTTTCTTTTCTTTTCCTAACCTTTAGCTTAACCACAGAACAGCAGGTTGCGGTAGTGAGAAAAAGACGATTGTGCTACTTAACCACACGCATGAGCTCTTGTTTAAAACGGTATGATCGGTGACTGTTTGTCATGTGCTTTACCTCAGAGAACAGAGACACGTTGGTCATCTGAGCGGCAGAAGAATTGGTGAGGCTCAGCGTGAAGCTGCACTGGTACGGTCGCCCCGCGGCTGAAAAGCGGGACTGAGTATAAAACAGCTCCTGGCCCGAGCTCACTCTGTGAGATCCTGACCACGAGAGAGTCTGACAGAGGTGGGCAAATAGTTGTGGTTAGAAAACTACATCGTTTCAGTGAGAAGAATCAATAGCTGAACGCCGCTGGTTTGTATGTGTGAAGGTTGGATAGGTGTTTGTACTCACAGGATGTGTGGGGCACACACCCAGCACCACCGTGTGCTCCAAACGGTCCCTGAGATTGGTTTGAACTTTGGCCAGGAGTGTGTGGGAAGGACAGGGTGCTGGGGACACTCTGTCCAGACCAATATGGACCTGAAGGCTGTGCATTCCCCTCAAACCTTTCTGAAACACAACAAAACAAACCAATTTTTTACATTTTTGTTGGTTGAAAATGTCTGCCACTGAAAGTAGATTTCAAATGTCTTTCCATGTGATGTAAAACAAAGTACCTGGTATTTGATGCCCTGCTTCACACTTCTGTTGTCCCATTTTAACTCTGCATGCTGTAGATAGGAGTTTCCCTCCTGACCCAGAGACACGCAGCCTTTGACAGGGGACGCTGCCATCTGCACAAAGCGTCACACAAACCCACAGATTAAGGACACTGACGTTGCCCAGGCCCGGCAGAATATTAAAGATGCTGAGGAGCAACCAACCTGCTGCGCTGAAAGAATCGCACACGCCTGCCCCCTACTGGAGTTGGTCTGCCACTGTTTGTTCAGGCTGAGAGAAATGTTACCGGGGGCTGTGCCATCCCAGGATAGTTGGGTCTAAACACACACACACAGACAGACACAGAGGCCACAAGGTCTTCTTTAGATTTTGCGGAGTCTGTAGTTTCTTAAAATGATATTAGAAATGTGGAAATAACTGTAAATAAATCCATGCACACTTGACGGCTGCTGCGTTGTTCCCTTTGTGAGCTGTGTGACAGCACGTATACGGACAGCTGGCTCAGAGTGGAGGAAAAAGGCTGCTTCATCTCCAGTTTAGTCTCATTTCTTTCCTCAGTGCGACTCCAAACACTCAGAGCTCTGACCTACAAACACAAGGAAAATAATAGACCAAATAAATCTTCTAATCTAACTTTTGTCATCTGCAAATGCAATGCTAGCATCATGGTGCTCTGTTTACTACTGACTTCAATTACTAATTTCTATAATTCTAGATATGACATCCGTGTTATACAGTCACTGAAAAAAGACAGAACACCCTTTCTATTCTTAAATGTCAGGATATGATCATGTCTTAATATACAAGACTAGTTTAAATAAATTCACTCAGTAAACTTAGTAAATTAATGAGGCTTTGTTCAGTCTGACCTGTTCGAGTTGTCCATGCCTCATCCAGCCCAGTAAAACACTGCCTAATCGGCCTTCTGGGGAGCGTTCCAGCATCACCTCCAAACTGGTCACACGAGGGACACAGCTGATCTGAACTAGGACACAATAGAGACATCAATAATGTGAAGTAAGTCAGAGTACCAACAGTGAAAACAGAAACTGATATAATCGAATACTTTCAACAAGTTGGGATGTTCAAGACTCGTCCTAAAATGGATGAAATTAATCATATTTTATATGTCAGAGTAGAAAACTCTTGGAAAAAACGTAGTGGACCTGCTGGGATTTCAGATTTCAGAAAGAATACTAGAACATTTCTACAGCCCTGAATGTGGCCCAAATAATAAAATGTAAAAAATTCCCAATTCTGTGATCAACATCTTGTCCATCTTGTCTTAAATCCCTGACGCCTTAATCTGACTGAACCTGAAAACTTCTGGAATAGTAAAACTTCCTTAATATGACATTTAAGCCAAGCTAAAACTCAAATTCAGAGACGATTATGAATAAAATCCTCCATTTCTTTGTGGATAACCTTGAGGAATTACATTGCAAAGCGATATGAATCATCTTTCACATTACAAACCGGCATGATTTGATGGGCATTTTATCAATACCATTCCTATAGTAAAGCATGTTAGCACAATACTTTGTGGAGGCCTGGTAGAAAGGGAAAATAGGTAAAAATGCAGAGAAACCCGAAGTAAAACCGTAACTCATTCTGTAAATAATCCCTGGCCTTGACATTGACATTTACATTTGAACCTTTTAATGTATAGCGGACACTACAATGGACAGATAATTAAAAGCCATTTTCTTGTATACATATGGGTTTTTCTGTTTTAAATGCGGATAGACCTCTGAAGTGGACTCTGCTAACAAATTATTCTGTCAACAAATGTCAAACTACACTCACATAGTAACATAAAGTGTTTCATTAGTAAGAAATCTTAAAACGTATGCTGTGCACTTTGGTGGAGAGTTGGAAAAATCTTTGAATGAACACTTTTTTGACAAAAGAAAAAGATCCTGAGTGAAATTATCATAATTTGCACATGAAAGGGTTAACAAGACTACAACCAGAGGCAGGCTGCCAAGCTGCGCAGGAGTGGCTTCGGTAAAAAAGCCAGAATCTGGGCCCGAAAGAAGCAGACCATCTCTGCAGAGGCTTAAAAATGGCTGTGCACTTACACTCCCCCTCCCTCCGACCGGGATACACTTCAACAATTCTGGGAATGGGAGAAACCTCCAGATACAGGGGTGAGCCAAGAAAACAAAAAGAATGATGTCCAAGTGGATTTTTTTACAGCCAAAGGTGCTCTGAGCAAGAACAGTGAGAAAAAAAAAAAATCACCTTTCAGTGTCTGGTTCCCGATCTCCAGCATCGGGGGATCAGAGTACAGACCAGACAGGCTGAACTCGTGGTTGCCCCACACAGCGCCCTGTTGAACCTGGTAGCTCCAGTCCCTGCTTTCGTACACCGTTCTTAGTGCGATGGTCCTGGGCAGCGGCCTCAGCTGTAGGGGAAAAAAATCAGCTCGGAACATTTAAGATGCCTGAACTGTTTTAAGTTTAGGAGCAAGTTGGACCACAGGAGTCAAATATTGAAGGACGAGTCATTTTGAGAGGTTGCAAGGAACTAAACTAGCCCTCAATCATGTTAGATTGTTTTTGCGTAGTAACAATGACAATTTACAGGTCGAGATAACGGCATAATTACATATTACTGGCAATCGAGATATAATTAGGCTCCAGATACAGGGGTGAGCCAAGAAAACAAAAGAATGATGTCCAAGTGGATTTTTTACAGCCAAAGGACCTACCTGTGGGTAGGAGTGTTTCACCTCTACAGCGTGTCTGTATCCGCTCTCGATGGTTGTGAGCTCCCCCCGGGCCCACAGCCTCCTCCTGCCCGACAGCACCTCCAGCAAACCCGCCACACTGGTCAGAGACTGGTTCAGCTGGGAGGGAACAGAGACAGACAGCCGTCTTTTTCGGACACTGATTCCACACAGAGTAAGAACAGGAACGCCTCCGGGAATCGCCACCCCACCTGAGATCGAATGCTGAACTGAGAGGGCAGGTAGACCAGCATTCTGGGGAGGTTGTGGACCGCCTTCACCGCGAGGTCCTTGCTGGACAACACACTTACACGTGAGTGTATTTGCTCGCGGGAGAGAAGCCTCGTGCAGAGTCGGAGTTTGCGTGTCTAGGCAGTACCTGCGCGGCGAATGGTGGCCCTGGATGATGAGCGCGACCGAGGAGCTCGATTCGGGGTTCACAACCATAGAACACCTCAGCTGAGACTCGGTGAGCCGTCCCCAGGCCTCAATCTAGAAGTCAACAAGTCAAGGCGGTCGGCGGTCAGCACCAAGGAACAAAGCCGTGTGGGGTTTAATGTCAAGTCAAGTCAAGTCAAGTCAAACTTTATTTATAGAGCACATTTAAAATAACCGAAGTTGCCAAAGTGCTGTACAGCTAAAAATAAACATAAAAAGCCAACATAATTTACATGTACTGTAGGCTATATGTAATTTTAATGTAAAATAAAAAATAAATAAATAAATGAATAAATAAAAAATAAAAAAAAATATATATATATATATAAAAAGGTAAAAGGGTGCTCTACCTCAACCTAAGGTTAAAATGTTATAAGCCATGTCAAATAAATTAGTTTTTAAAGAGGACTTAAACACCTCTACGGCCTGGGCAGATCTTATATTAAAAGGCAGGCTATTCCAGAGCTTTGGGGTGGCCACACTAAAGGCTCGATTGCCTTTTGTCCTCAGTCTTGTTTGAGGGACCACCAGCAGCAGCTGACTGGCTGATCTCAATGTTTTTTCATGTGGATGCTGACGCACACAGTACCTGCAAAGCGGGGCGAATCTTTCCGTGAACGGTGTGCTTCAGTGTGATTTTGCCCTCTTTGGTCCCTCCATGCGTCCCCCAGCCTAAAGTGTCCCCCGCCACGTGAACCCTCCAGTCCTGGCCGCGGACATCAAACAAGGCGCTTCGCTGAGGGCCTGAAGAGAGTAGCAGAACACCGCTGCCGATATCCATCACAAGCGAAAGACTACCCTGAAGGATTCTCTGGCCAACGGTTAACGCTGTCACTAGGAGGGTGGCAATCCCATGTCAGGGCCTCTATGCATGGAGTTTGCACGCTCTAACCTTGTATGGACGGGTTCTCTAATGGTCCTCCGTCTGACTTCCTCCAGCCATCGAAAAACATGCAATAGAGGTTAATTGGCAACTCAAAATGGCCCCTAGGAGTGAATGTGAGTCTGTGTGGTTGCTTGACCATGTGTGGTCATGTGATGGACCTTTTCAGGGTGATCCAGCCCCCCCTTTTAACCTTACCAGGAATAAGTGGTACGCATAATGGATGGATGGATGTACAGGAGCCACTTTTTTGTTGGCCTCCCGTGGTTTAACCCTGTGATGAAAAATGTATCATATTTGATACATACGGTTTCTGAAATGTTTTGCGTCTAACACCTTTTGCATAATTTAATGGTAAAAACTTTGCTCAAAATCCTATTGTACACAATCAGACATACCTGATAACAGGGGGCAAAAGACTAAAAAAAAATAATCTTGACTTATCGCATTGTAATAAATTATTAATATTAAACATCTATTTCTGTTTTTTTCCTTTACATATTTGTTAAAAGGCCAAATAAAGACTTCAAACCAAAAAAATTCATTTTCTGTTTTTTTCTATGCAACATAGAACTTGAAGGAAAACCTGTAATATTACATCTTAAGGTCAGGCTTGGATATCACCATTTATTGCTATGAGAGTATTGAAAAATGGGGGGTAGGAAATTAGATTTCTACAAGACTTACGAAATGTTATTGTTGGTTGAATGTGTTGCCAGACAGTATGCAGTAGCAACTGTGGGCATTTTTTTAAGACATCTCAGACTTTAAGAACCATAATTTAAACGTCCGGCGCACAAGAATGAAAGCCAGAATTTATTTTCTGTTTACCTTTGAATTGGGCAGTCAGGACAGAATCCAGTTTTTGAAGTATCCTGGTCTGATTGACAGGTGAAGGAGAATATGAGACAAGTGCTGACAGATGCCCATCAGTGCCACTAACATTCAAACCAGACGCCAGCAGCTTGTGTCCCGCCACACTGAGCTGAGCCCTGGATTGAAGCTCGGATAGGGTTCCTTTGATAAAACATAAGCCCTTGGAAAGAATACAAAAGAGAAAAAAATGGAGCAGACAATTATCTTTAGTTCAACTGTTCTGTAACGAAAATGAGCATGTAAGGACTCCTAGTCACGTTGGGTATTTGATGTCATGCCAGTGCATAACAGTACCTCTATGTTAAGCGGCAACCCTTGGTCATGTAACCACGACCAGCTGTGCCACATGTTCCCTCTTATTTCTTTGATCAGCGGAACACTTTTCACATGAAGCCTCAGCCCTGCCTGATGATCTCCACACAGGCACTGGAAGGTCAAGGCCTTCTCCTCAGCGGCACCAAACTCCATCTGCACACGGTCACGTTCAGGGTTCAGCTAACATCCACATAAAGTCTTCATCTTTATTTTTCTCCATTTGACCGGTCTAACCTGTATGCTGCTGAGTGCAGGGACTCCCAGATCCATCAAGTAATTCAGCGTGTGTCTAAAATCGCTCTTCACTCTCACTGTCCTAGAAGTTTTTGCCACTGTCATCGCCTGACTCAGCTGAAAACAGGCAACATTTGTTAAAGAACACGTGGAAAAATAGGATTGATGACAATACTTTTATGATCTGGATTTAGTTAAGTAGTAGTGTGCTTCACAGACGTGTATACATTTCTCTATTTTGCCGTTTTCATCTTGTATATTAAACCTTAGTAAAACACATACACAAACTCAATGGTGATTTGGTCTTTGACTTGAGGTGCTAAACGTTTGAATGTACACCTCACAAGAAAAGGAAGGAATATGTGTTGACATGCTGATTCCACCTTTACGTTTTGTTCCCCCACGCTGCTGCTGAATAGATGAAAGTATGAACCGTTGCTGTGACTCCCAGAATGTATCTTCAGTGAAGCATTCGTGGGGAAACCAAGCTTCTCCAACAGGGGTACAGAGTGGTTTAAATGGAGTGATGCTTCATTCTGACCCTGCAATAGCAGAAAATAAGGTGACGTTCTTCAGACAAAAGTGTCATAGTTCCAGAAATTTGAAAAACATAAAGTGATCAAATCTTTTAAGTGCTTCTGAATTCATACATCAGTTTTTCTGATCGCCATTAGAGTCTGTAACGCTGTGTCATCTACCACCATTGAGATAAGAGAATTAATGGATGCAGGAAAGACAGCCAGGGATCCAGACGCCTGCATTCTGTAAGGACTACCCCATTCCTGGAAACAAAAAAGCAGGAAAATATAACCGATTGTAGGCAATTACAGAAGAATAACTTTCTATGAGTTCAAAATGCATTTTGCTTCAGCCTCACCTGGATCGCTGTGCAATTGTTGTTATACACCAGCGACCCCTGCAGGCCAGGCTGTGACATCACAGCCCCACTGGCGCTGACTGCACACTCCTCCGTCACAACCAGCAGCTCCATGTCACGTTGCGGTTTTACGGAGCTGCTGGTTAATCTCAGTCTGCTGTTTTTTGGCAGATGTCCGAGAGCGAGGCCGTTGTGGCTGAGCTCGCCCTCTACCCTCAGCTCCGGCCAAGGCTTTACATCAAGCCTCAGGAAAGCTCTCCTGCCCTCAGCATCAGCGTCAAACAAGGCCGACCAGATGCCTTGAGGATCCCGCCACACTGAACCATTCAAATGAGCCTTTAAAGGGGCGACAGGTAGGCTGTTAGTTTGACTCAAAGAGACAGCAAACAAAACAAACTTTGGACGTGCAGTAGAAAATAAATACATTCAGTTGGATGAATTATTGAATGAAGCGCCACCTGAAACACGGGACACTTTGACTCCAGAGTCCAAAGCCAATGTCTTCTTCCTCTGGCCTCTTTGACTGTGGTGGCTCGAATATTGCACGTCCCAACATTGATAAACAGATCCCCGGCCTCTCCAGGGCCGCCAGGAGCAGTAGCCTCTATGATAACATTCTGTGGCAGACCCTTACTCTCCAGCCCAGAAAATGAGTGAGTCATGGTCCCGGATAGATGCGGAGATCTGCAGGACCCAATTAGGTCTAGAGACAGATCCTGGTTGTCGGCTCTTAGAGAGGAAGACACCGTCACCAGGCAAGAAGTAACTGAAAGGCCGCCACGAAGAGCCAGGGACACGGGGAGCATCCTTTCCTGAACCACAATCAGAGGTGGACAACACACATGAAGTCTTTGTACTTCTTTGCTGCCATGATTGCTTCAAATTATGTTACAAAGTAAATTCTGCTGACATAAACAAGTTATTTAACAGGTCAATCTATAATTAAATAAATCATTCTCATTGCATTGCCATTGATTGGTCAATGTTTGTTGGGGAAAAAAACAAAGCTCTTACCTTTAATAACGGGCAGTAGCTGGTCACATTGAAAGTGTACGAAGACAGCCCAAACTCCTTCTGTGGAGCTATATTGTTGCTCATATTACCTCTGAGATAACATTGTCCCAGTTGCAGGCCAATTTGCATCTCAGGCTGATGTACAGTCGAAAAATTGAGGAGAAGCTCTCCACTATCTGGAAATGACGTCTTTATTGCTTCTACAGAGTGTACCACAGACGCCCTCAGTGTAAGGTGCGGGTGACAAGTCAGGGACACACTGAGACTTCCTTTCTGTATCCCCTCCGCCTCGAGGACTGAAATCAGATTAGTGAAACACTCCGAGTGGGTGACGGAGATATTGACTGAAGCTTCTGAAAGTAGGGACGTCTAGAAATGAAAATAAATAAATAAATGAAATTCATTATAAGATCATTTGTGCAGATCATTTGTGACATGTAGCCTCGCATTAGCAAGGTAGCTTTTTCCTAATTTGTTTTGGAAATACGGTTTTCGCTTATACGTTTTTATAACCCATAGTACATTATTGGTAATTATACTTTATCCTAGAAACTAAGAAGAAGAGAAATTCTTTTGATTTTGCTCTGACCTTTCCTTGAAGTCATTGTAGGTAAAAAGAAAGTTTTCAAGGAAAATGTGAATGATTTTTTTATTACCAATAGACCTTAAACCATGTTCACAAGCAAAGTAATTGCATATTGATAACCATGTACCATTGCATGCATGCAAATAAACTAAGCAATATATACATTTTGAACTGATAATGGATTTATAGAAGCCAAATAAATAAAAACTAAGCTAAACTAAATCTTGTAGAAACAATATTTTGATTAATTCATTTACGGTTTGCAATAGCTCTAAAGAGTGTGAGTTAAAAATGTTTATAGAGTGAGAATGACTTGCAGATTTACATTGCTTTAACACATTATTAATCTTCTCACTGAAATATGAAACGCAATAGGGGAGGGAAGCCAGAGTCATCTCCATAGTGGAAATGTTTCTATAGCTTTTCTTCTGGTGGGAAACAAGTTGTCTTGATATTTTTTTTGTTTCCGGTCTAACCTTCTGAGGGGTACATTGCTGGTGAGCGAAAATCCTCCACTGGTTCCTGCTGTCCTTTCTCCCCTTGTGTTGTTTTGCAATAAGAATTATAGAGCATGCATCGCTCTCCACCAGGAACCGGGCTTGACTTGCCGTGGTCAACATGGTAATAGTGAAGATGTCTGGTACACTACCCGAGGCCAAGTTTTGCTGAAGCATGACTCTGAGGGAGGTAGAGGATCCTTGCGTACCGGAGATGTTAGCTTGTAGGAATCTTGTATCGACAGATAATCGAGCAGTCCCAAAGAATGAAGTATCATAGGTTTGACCTGAAACATGCAGCTCCACCCTTTCTGGAATGAATGAGGTAATAGATTTCCAGTGGTGCAGAAGACTCCAGACTACATCAGCTTTTTGGTCATTCAGTAGCACAGACAACAAGGTCTGGAGAGAATCCTGCTGTTTTGTAATCGTCATAGATCCTTTGAGTCCATCTTTTCCCGCTTGTCCATGTAGGGTTAAGGAGGACTGGTGAGGTACAACTCCCTCAATGTTTCCAACCTGCATCCACACAAGCTTCCCCACCCCTGTACATCTAATAGACACCAATAGACTGGAAGCGATGGTGTTCCATTCCACGCTGGCCCTTGCCCAGATATTACACAAGCTTTCCAACCTTATCCGACCTATTGCTACAGCATTGTGTAGTACACCATCGCTCCCATATTCAAGCTGTCCATGCCAGCTGTATAATCCGAGTCTCTCTATCCGAATTCGTGCACTCAGGTCTGTTCTCCAAGAGCCGAACTCTGTCCCAATCCCCATAACCCACCTGTTGGGCCCCGGGCGTAGAATGAGCCTAAAACCAGATTTGTCGGGCATACCTAAATTTGCCAGTAATAGCACAGAGGAATGAGTGAGGTTAGCTCTGAGTTCCTTCTGACCATTGGAACTGTAACAGGCTTTGGCTTGAGCACTTAGGCTGAAGTGAGTGATAGATAGGCCATAGCAAAACCTGTTGTGTGGCCTGTAGGAGCGAAAGACTCGTACCTCCACTGGGCGGTCCGTGACATTTCCATAACAGTGAGCTGAGAGTCGGTCTGTGGTTTTGTCCCCTGTGCAGCTCATCTGTGAAAACAGAACCTCATGTGGGCAAAGTTTGTTTTCTCTGAAGGAGGAGGATGGAAGAATTTTCTGAATATTTACGGAACTTTTAGACCAGTCACATACAATAATTCCTTGGCATGTGTGTAGTTCAATCATATTACTTGTGCTTCATTCAATTTGATAAATTACTGGCAAATGAGGATTATATCTACTTGCTTTGTCTCCATAAGCTAACCACACTCAAATTTGTGCATCTATAATTAGGTTAAAATCTATTTGATCAAAGCCAAAGAGTTTTTCTAACGTTTATTTTCATAATATATTTGTGTAGAAGTGGAGATTGGATTAGTCTATTTAAATTTTCAGTTATTGCCCGAAATCTATAAATTAATTTTGGATAAACAGTGTACAAATACCTGTAAAGAGGTAGGTATGAGTTCCTGTAGCTGCTTGATCTGTTGCCACAAAGACATTTTTATGACAGTGGTTTTGTTTTCCGATCCCACATTAAAAAGAACGTCAGCAATCCTCTGGTCTTCCATGTATAAGATCAAGCCTGTGTCCAGTCCAGCTGTTTCTAACTAATTGAAGAACATCAAATGAAAAAAAGGCAAATAAGATCAAATACAAATCATGTGACTTCGAAAATAAATTCAGAATATAGAAGAAATGATAAACCTGCACCTGGTAATGTGCTTCAGCTTGAAAGGAGCTCGATATGCCTCTTTTCTGTAGGGCTTTGACTTGGTGCTGCAACCTGGAAAAGTACTCCCAGCGAGGAATAAGATGATCTGTCCTGGCTCTGTGAATTTCAGCTTTAAGATATTCAGGTCCAGCCAGCAGCTCTGTCAGGACTGACAACTGACCATCATCCAGTGTCCACATCAACTGAGCACTACTGTTATTAGGTATACCTGTATCCAGACGATAAAGAGGAAGGTATAAGTATGTGTGTTTATACATATATATATATATGATCATCATACTTCTACTTAATGGATATTAGGAAGGACACCTGTGGCATCGAGTGCGTGGAAAGAATGAGAGAGCAGCCCAAAAACCTCCCCCCCTCTCCGCTCTTTGCTCCTCTTTGTCAGCTGCCAACTGACATTCAGGCACAAATGCTCTGCCCCTGACCAAAGGCACAGCCAATCGCGGGCTTCCTGGAACTTTTCTCCCATTTTGTCTTCTTCACCATCTACGTCCGAACTTTTTCCAGCTTCCCGTTGATGTCTGAGGTCTATGACGTGCACGGTCTCGGTCAACCTAGTTCTCAGCTGTCCTGCAACAACACCGCACACAGGGCTGAGGCAATTGTATGAACTGCTCTTTCTTGAATATGTCATAGAATGAAAAAACAATGTCATGGTATATTTTATAAGGTGTTATGTTTAACCATTATATAATGTCAACAAAAAATAATGTTATGGGTCATTTTGACCCATACTATGTAAATGAATGCAAAACAGTTACAAAAACAAGTTAAACCAATAAGCAATTATCTAATATTGAAAAAGCCTTCCTTTTAACTTTAGCTATACCTTCAATTAAAGCGTCAAAGTGCCTAAACACCCCATCCAGCCCCAGGACAGTAGGGAGAAGATTCAAACTGGTCATGGAGTGCCTAAAGTCCCCTGACGCAGCAAGCTGGAGGCCCCTGGACCTTTTCAGAGAGCCTTTGACCTGAAGCAGCAAAGCTTCCTGCCCTTGTGCGAAGGAGCCACGTAGAAACACTCTAGAGGAGATAGCCAAGACATGAAAATGTAAAAGATTTCAAATGTTTATCCAGAGCCAGTCAGTCATAAGTTGATTACAACATACGGATCGGGTTAAAATTATATTATAAAGAGTGACAGACGCACCTGTCTGAGGACACGTTGGCAGCCATGTTTAAATTTAGGTTCGTGGCTGTGGGCAGCAGGCTCTGGGAGAGGTTCATTCTTAGTCCCGCGGCTCTGTCTCCCTTCTGCAGAGAGTGGGACATCTGGGCGTCCAGGATCACTCTGTCCTTCCCATCAGCCTTCACACTGACAGAGCTGCTCCCTTTGCCAGGTACTGAGACATCTGCAGTGGCCTTTACCTTAACGTGACCAAATAAAAAAAATCTATCTTAGTTGGGATGCTTCACATCTTAATTCTAAAGCCATAAAAGTAGGTTTCTGTTGTGGGGACAATATCAAAGGTGCTCACCTCCAGTATTTTGGGGGTCTTTGATTTGAAGGGGTGACTGATAGATGATAACAGGTTTACTTTGCCTGATGTTCCATTCAGCTGTACTGAAAGCTGAAAATAAAAGGCACGTTTGTGAGGGACATTTGTCATAAAAAACAAAAAAATCAGCAATAAACATGCCTGTTTTATTTGTTCAACTCACTCGGCACTCCTGTCGCTCTATTTTCAGCTTCCCTCTGGCCTGATAATCAAACTCATTGTTATCTTTAGGTTTCCAACACACTTCTCCCTCGATTATAGCCGAGGAGGGGAGCTGCAGCTGCAACAGCAATAACAGATGAACTGGATTCATGTTGGTCTATTCTGCTGCGAAAGAATCGAACAAACTTTTGGATGAATTTCTTAAGGTTTGCAAAACAGGCTGACCTGGAGCTGATGGATTAGGTTGGCTTTAACTTTTATTGCTTGACCAGTTGAATGCAAAGGGTTCATCTGAGCTTGGCCAAAGAAAGCGAGTCTCTCCTTGCTCCCGACTCGGAGCCTCCCCCGTACATCTTTCTGGGTCTGAAAAACAGCATATGAAAAACAAATCATACTTCCCAATTCTATAGCAGTGAATTAATAATTGAAAACATGAGAAACCTCATATGCTGAAAGGAAAATACTTTGATATTTCGTAAAAATGTTAGCTTGTCTTGAATTTGAAGACTGTCCCATCTTCAGGACAAAAGAGTGCATCAGCACCAACTGAACGGTTAACTTTCACAGACTAAGCTAAACCATAAACAGCATCTGCTACAAGAACATTGTTTTGTAGTTTTCAGACTGGTGTAAAACAAAAACAAAAACTGAGAGAAGAACGAGGCCATACAATGATAAAAAAATCGCCCTGAATCAGCCTTGAAATTCAGGATTATCTTCTTTTTTAACAAAAAAAAAGTAATAAAGTGATACCCTTGTGATTGGACCACTTTACTATTTTCTTATAGTAACAGAAAATTCACAGGTTATGATCTTATTTGACAGAGTGCTCAATTCTTTTAAATTGGTGTTGAAGAATTCAATTGAATTGACCAGGTAGCAGGTTTTAATTCAAGAGCTGAATAAATGTGTACCATGTCAAAAATGATGGATGATCTAGAACACTTTTAATGGAATAGTCTTAATTTTTTTTTCCTTGAAATGGTTTAAAGAGTTTACCTGGGTGCTGGTAACATTCACACAGATCTCTGTGTCTGAGGGGATAGTGTCAGAGCGGAATGGATGGATCAGTGCACAACATACCTGAAGACGAATCAAAAAGATTCGTAAGGATTTTTAGAGTTTCACTAAATACAGCAATGAGCAACTCCTTTATGTTGCCTTGATTATTGATCACCAAGATTAAAAAGCATTTAACGTACAAAAGGACTAAGAGGTTTGTAGCCCAAAGTCAGGGTGTGGAGGATTTCTCCGTTGTCATGGATACTAGCTTTCGTCTCTATGATGTAGACGCCTTGCAGTAAGTCGACGGTGAAAGTCTCCCGCAGGAGAAGAGACTGGGGAAGGTTCTGGAAGGGCTGTCTGTGTGAGATGTTTGTTGTTAAAATCAACAGCGTAAATGCATTGACATTAGATGGATCTAAATAACAAATGGAGTAAACCAACAGACCCCGTTGAGAAAAGTCAGTGTGGGAAACAGACCTAAGAATGAGCATTGCTGTTTTCTGATACATGTTTTTGTCCCTCTTCAGCTCCTCTATTGCCCCCTCAAACTCGATTTCAGAGGGAGAGCTCTTTGGGTTTGAGACACTCATCTTCAGAATCACCTGCTTCTTATTCAAATCCTTAAACAAGGGGACAAACTGTCAGAACATTGAGAAAGGAACAAGCAGCTAAAGATGTAAACCTGTTTCTACAAATAAATAAGCAACACTCTCCGTGCCCAGACACAGCCCAGTACTCCACCCACCTTATCAGCAGTGTTCAGCGCAGCCACAAAGCTGACATTTTGCTTGCCGTAGGTGGTGCTCATCTGCAGGGTGTGGCTAAGTTTGGAGGCCTCCACAGAGATGTTTCCTCTAAGGGGAAGAGTCCATAGCGAGCTGAAGGAGCCAGAGGCTTTTACGCCCTGTTTTCCCACCACGCCCCACACCCCTGCCTGCCGAGGAGAGCAAATTCAGAGTCATTATGCGCATAAATATCCAAGCGCATTTTCTTAAATGAAGACATTAACCCTCACAAAACCTTTGTTACGGTTTATTATAATTCCAACCTCAGTTGTTTGTTCACATTTTCTCAAAAACTTGTTCCAATTGTATAGAATTTGTAGACGAAATAACAGAGTCTCCCTTTACAAATGAGTACGTTTTGAAGGAAAACTAAACGATAACCACAGCGTATTCGCCCCTTACTTGGAGGTAAGTGGCGGCTGGTGTGAAGAGTTTCAGACGGGCCTCCCTGACTCTGCCCCTTCCCCTGTAAAAGGCCTCTAAAACAAGGTTATGGACTCTTAGCCACTTGCTGACTGTCAGCCCAGAGGTGAGCTGCAAGGCGTGTCGGTGCAGGTGGCTCAGTTTGTGGGTGGTGTAAATGTACAGCCACGGCGAGTCCATGTTTAATGTACCTGGATAGTGAAGAAATGATCACATTAGTCGATTCCATCTTCCAAATTCTCATAATATATGCGCAAGAGTAATATGCCTTTGTAAATACCTTCCCATTTCTTTTGTCGGGAATCTTTCGGGGTGCTTTTCCAATGTAATCCGGCCACAAGTGGCATCAGATTGTTGTAATTGATTTTCAAGTGCGTGCTGCTCTCAGAGCCAAACTGCGTTACGTGAGAGTGCATTAGCTGAGTCCTGTAGTTTAGATTTTTCTCAGGTGCCTGGAAATTGAACTGCACCAACACGAAACATAATCAGGTCATTTTCAGATGAGGAAATTGTCATTCGATTAAAAAAAAAAAATCAAAAACAATTACGGAAAATAGTTCAAATAAGGATCGCAGGTTGTTTACCTCCAAGGTGTAACTGGTGTGACCTTTCGTGGATTGGTTTTTAAAGGACTGACTCAAGAGAATGGTCTTTTTGTTGTTTATCTCATCCCAGTGTGGGCCATAGCTCATGTCAAACGAAGATTTAATGTGGCTGGGGCTTTCTTCGTGCCGGAGGTGGATCTGAACAGGACATGTCATATCATCATAAAGTATCGCACATTGCTTCATATCAAATTAGAATTTCTGCTTTGGTTAAAAGATGTAGACGGGCCTCAAATTATCACACATTGTGAAATTTTTTACGAGTGAATTCAGCTCTGTTTTCACAAAGGTGTCATGCTCTCGGTCACCTTATGGTTAATGGGAGCGGTGTTGGTGCAGTAGAATTCGTGATCTGCTCTCATGATGTATGTGAGGTTTGAGTCCCTCTCACTCCTTAGTCTCTGGGATGTGTAGCACTCCTGACGCAGCTGCCTGGCGTTGCCTGTGAAAGGGTTGAAATGTCAAACAAACCATTAAATAAAAGTCTTTAACTTTTCACTACGCGCTTTGTGTTTTTGCTATCAGGTGTATTTTTCTACTTTTTCTTCCCCCTGGGACACATTTACCAGTTGTTGGTATAAATTGGAGGGTTGGGTGATGCTTCACGTGTTATACCATTTGATATTCATCTATAAATAAGATGAAGATCCAATGTCAGAGGCTGCTGATTCATTGGTCTGCGTGTGTGTTCTTTCCTGTCAGTTCTCTAATTAATTTAGTTGACGCTCTCTTTAATATTTTATCGTGACGGGCTGGTTTTCATATGCAGTCTCCCGTCTTTTGTGCAGCTGCGGTCTAATCTGTGCAGCTTGCCACCTTGACCGTGTCCTGTTGTGACTGACTTGCTTTGTTTTAGTTGGGAACACCTAGTCCTAAAAGAGGTTACATCAGACACCTTGAGACGTTTGGTCATTTTGAGGCATGCCTATTTCACTAGCAGGTTTTTTTATTTTTGAAAACATATGAGACCCTAAAAACATTTGTTTAATACCTTCAGTGTCTCTTCTCAGATAATTGATTAAACAGAACATCAAAGAACATTTTCATTTTCAGAACATTTTTGCAGTTGCCAGGCAAATAACACAAGAGTTTGTCATAATTGTTTTTTTGCGGGATTAAGTAAGTTATACATCTTAAATAATCTATACTGCAATCATATAATCATCCTTTGGGGATCGATAAGAAAATATTAAGCTTATTTCGATTAAATGAAATCAAATCCAATTCAGTTTCATTCAGCAAAGTTCAGTCTAACATCAGTTCATTTAAGAGGGTCAAATACAACAGGCGAGGACGGTTCAGTTAGTGACAGTATGGATTCAAATTATTCAGAGAACATGACTGAACAGAGCATGCAGCAGCATCCACAACCAAGAGAAGGGAACAGTTTGTAGGAACATCTGTGTCGAGTACGGCTTGGAAGTTCCATAATCAAAGCGGGAGACGCTGCGAAAGTAGGGGAAAATAGACTGGGCTAAGAGGGTAATCGTGATGAATGCAGCAATTCCAAATGACAGCAACATTAAAAAGCTCAAAAATGACAAAAATGGGAGGAGATAGTTGAAAAGATGTTGGAAGTAAAGGCAACGCCGGTAATAATAGTAATCAGAGAATTCTGGGCCCAGAGAGATTGGCTCCAGCTGATTCAAAGAACATCATGAGAGATCTTTGTACAGAAGACCCAGTTCTAGGGAAGACTGAGACACAACGTACAATCTTCAAGCTTCCAGGCCTCTGGTTAAAGAACAATTCCGCTTCTGGTGAATACAACACTTTTCTGCAGTTTTCTGCATAACTTAAACAGTTAGCGTGAATAATTGAGCCTCAGATAATTCAACAAAAAGGGTATTTAATAACATCTTTTTCTATTACTTTCTATCTTTTTATAGTCACAGATAGTAATTCACTTAAAATGCCTGGTATGGAACGTGTATGATGCAAATTGAAAAGTGTTTTAAGCTGTGAAGACCTTTATAATCTATAAAACAATCAGCATGAATTTCAGACGTGCCTGGTTAACCCATTTAGGCCTAAAATCAGGGAAACAGCTGAGCATGTGCTCACCTCCCAGGCCGTATTTGAGCCTGAATACTGAGCTCCACAGTGACCTCCTTTGCTCCATCAGGCCCAGCATCCTGCTGCCGACCACTCCGGGCAAGAGGACGTCGGCTTCTACGGAGTACTGCCTACCGCTGCTGTCCCGCCGGCGCTCCAGAGCCACTAAACACAGACAAGCTGCACACCTACTGTCCTCTGTCAAACCAAATGTTTTAGAGACAGTCAAAGAGTAAAATAAAGTCACCTGATAGAGATGCGGTCTCTCTGAACACGTTCTTCAAAGTGGCAGAAAAGCTGGTCTTTCTCCCCAGACCACGAGTAATATTCGCAGACAGGATCATTGGATGTTCATTGGCGGCCATCTTGGCTTCAAGATGACAGCGTGTCTTCTGCTCAGACAGAATGCTGTGGGTGTCAACCAAACCCTGTAGGGTATAATGTTAAGATTACATCTATCCATCGTGAAAAAATCCTGTCATTTAAAAAAAAAAACTAGCGTCCAGCACTTACCATGACATAATAACGAGCACTGTCGATGACAAGCTCGAGCTTCCCTGACTTGATGTTCCTCTCTTGCTCAAGTTGCCCTTAAAAAAAAAAAAGGCATTTTTAGAAATTCATTCCGATAATATGAAAGTGTTATCCTGTTTGAATGGTGCTCGCTGGGGACAGACCTTGAATGTGGATAGTTTTCAGAGGATGGGTGATCCTCAGCAGCACTCGGTGAGGGTTGAAGGCCAAGTCCAGAGACATGTCCCTGGGAATGGAGGACTGAGGGGTGGCCAGTACCAGGTGGACGGAGGCCTCTCTGGGAAGCCATGTACCTTTCTGAAACACCATGAGTGAGAGTGAATACAGCGTTTTGATCACATTACAGGTCTCAGAAAAGGAAAAAGGTCAAATTTCAGATAAAAACGGTGAAAGTGAAATGGTACATCTTCACATTTTGTAAGACCTGATGGTGCAGAGAGTAAGCTGCCTCCAGCAGATAATAATGGAGGCCTCTGTCCAGTTTCAACAGCCTGAGGGAAAAGTTGACCGGTCCAGAAGGGGGGAAAGTAAGGCCAGTAGCAAGTGATGGGAGGGAGGAATTAGAGCACAGTTGCCAGCCAATAATTTTGGACCCTGTGAGAAATAAAAAAAGACATTTTATATTTGTACTAATATTTAACCCATGAAAACCTAACGGAGGAATACATTTTTAAAAAGTTAATTTTCTTTTATTTTTAAATTTTTGTCTTTGTTTGACTTTAGACTTTTTAACTAGATGTGAAAAATAAAGAAAAAAACAATTTAATTTTTATGACTTTTTAAACCAAACTGTATCAAAATTGTCTGCATTCTTTTTTTTACTACAAATCAAACTGCAAAAGTGAATATTTTCTATATGATAGTCTTTTTTAAACAAAATTTTAAAGCACAGTGATGCAATAGGCTAAATCTATGCATCAAATATGATGGCAAATGGAGTTTAAGACTTAAGACATTCTGAAACATGTTAATACAATGACTTAGAAAAAAAATTACAGAATTGCCACTAAAGTCCTACCAAAACATTAACGTAAAAAATGTGGCACTTACAAGTAAAGCGAAAAAAATACAAGGTGGCAAAACAGAAAAAAAAGCGCCGTTCTGGTTTGATAAGTGCTCTTCTGCTTAAACTTGCTAACTAAAACACCTCAGCTCTTGTCTTGGTGACGTGAAAAAAGGAAAAAAATTCAACGTAAAACCTCAAAATCAACAGTGTGTCATGTATGATGGTGTACACCGTGTGGCGGGGCTCACAGGTTTTTGGTGTGCAGGCGGTCTTTTGGACTTGACTCTTCTGGCCTTTAATCTCCGCTCTGTGGTCTCCGCTTACCTGAAAAACTCTGTAGCTAGTGATCACAAAAGTTATACACAGCTTTTGAGAAACCATCGTTCACATCGCAAAACTGTAATTTTGTATATTTGAAACCAACAATAGTAAGCAATTTATCACATTTGAAATGTTCTTTTTTGTTTTTCTCCTTGACGTGAGACGTTAAATGTCTGCGATGTGTCAGTCCAAATCCCACAAAGAACCACTACAACGCATCCATTTTACACCAAGAATTTAGAGCTCTTTTCATTGCATTTTTTGGTGTTGAATGGTCCTTTCCCCCCCGTTTTTGTTTGGGATGAGTCCTCATTTAGATCTCCATTACAGCTTTTAGCCAATTGAAAATATCAAATCTGAGCATAAAACTCCACACCGTAGCCCTTGAGTCACATGTGAGAGCATACAATGAATGTCTGTTAGAGCGTACACATTTCAGCAACAGACAGCTGTTAGTGACCCCTTTCTTTTCGGCACCGTGCAGGTCACATATTTTATTAGCCCTGGTCGGTTAAAGGCAGCACCACAGATGGAAAGGTAGAAATAACATTGGCAGAAGCAATCAAACCAAAGTTAAAACTTTCGAATTCAATCAGTACATAAAAGTTCATTTTATCCTGGACATAACCTGTTGTTCCTCCCATCTATGTTTTCTAAAATGACTACCTCAAAATGAGGAGACAAGTGCACCGAAGACATATTGGAAACCAAAGTTTCAACTTCAGACATGGAAAAAAACTGAAGGTGCACTGAAGGTTTTGGTTTGAGGAAGCCAACAAATTCTGATCACGTCATCTTTCTTTAAAGTTAAGGGAACCATTTAGCTGCTGAGGTAAAATGTTCTGTTACCAGCCAAACAAAAAAGGAAGACCAAGAGTTTCAACTTCCCTCATCCAAGGTAAAGTGATTGCATCATTATTTGAATGTGGAGTAGGGCTAAGACAAGGATGGAGGCTGTTCTACTCTGAGCTAGAACCATGTCACACACTCAAATCTACCTGAAAGTAAAGATATCTATGGTGTCCTCTGGTGTGTTCAGCATGACCCTGATGTCTCGCCCCTCCTGGAGTTGAATGCTGCCATCCAGACTGGTAGAACTCTTTAACTCAGCTGCCCACTCCACTGCGGCCTGACCCAAAACACTGTCAACTCCCATTCTGGCTGACAGACTCACGAAGGCACTGAAAAACACAGATAAGACACAAAAGACACCAGACCGGTCACACCAACATCACCGGACACAGACTGACCTGGAAAGAATTAGCTGTTTTTACAGTTCCAATTGGAAACAAAGAAGTACTTGGGTTTGATGTATCCATTTAGGGAGAAGTGAGAAGGATCCCTGTAATTAAAGCTGCCTTTTAGACGTAGCGAAAGCAGGGAAGTCATGTTGACGCCCAGTTTCATAGGTAAACCAGACAGAGATGGTAAGACCAGATCCTCTGGCGTGAGCACGGCCCTGTGGTTCATCTGTACCTCATGACCCTGAAGAACAAAGAGGAAGGAAGTGTGAAGGAGGAGGGTGTCGAGGGGGTAAACAAACAGAGAAGTAAGAATTAGAGCTTCCAGACAGGTCGTCACATGTCAGCCCACATCTTTACCTTCAGCAGTTTCACAGCCAGTCCAGCCATGCTGAGTGACACATGGTCAATTTGATGGTAGATATCGTCACATGTGAACACACTGACCTCATTTCCAAACACTTTCACACCAAGCCAACACTTGAGCCTGTTGTCCTCTGTTTTCCTTCTTCCAAACAACTGCAAGAAAAAAATATAGCACTACTGAAAAAATATAAATTATTCAAAATGTTTCCTATGAGTGACTTGAAATTGGGCACCTGTGCGTATGCTTACGGGCTTTTTTTCCCCAGTACATCTAAAACAATGGCACGTTTGAGACACAAAATATGACATAGCTGAGCTAAAAATATGTGAAGTCTGGCTGTCGTTTTCTACTGTGACCTAATTGTATGACCTAACTGTGGCTGAATGTTTCTGATAACCACCGATCACCTCCACAAATCACCGTGGAGGAATTTTAACACCTCCACTCTGGCGTGTTGGTGGCTTCTCTCACATGAACTGCTCAATTCAGATCCTACCCCAGATTGTCTATTGGGTCAGGATGTTGGTCACCCACTTGCTCGTTCCACAACTTTGACTTTATTCTTCCCTGGCCATTCATTGGTTAAATGCTGTGTGTGTCTGGAGTCATAATTTTTTTCTAGGTGTTTCGTTTTGAATTAATTTCTATAATGACAAATAATTTGGTCCTTCACACTGATGGCAATCCTGGCCCAAATCATACGACCACCACCTTGTTTCACAGGTAGGACCAGGCATTAAAGTGATGAGTGTGTTTATTCTCCACTTCCTCGAGACCATTAAAAATGTGTATTTGTCTGATGTTCTATTGAGTGACTAATGTCTTTTTTTATATAGGCATGTCATGCTCACCACTTGATATTTAACAAAGGTTTATTAATGTTGTTATAAAATAGTCATACACCTGTCAACACTGATGGAGCCTTTCCATATGTGACAGTTCTATAGGCCATTTGCCCATTTTTGTTTAGAGTAGATACTCTACTTTTCTAAGGTGCTATTTTAAATATTTTGTCGTGTTGCCAACCAATTATCAGCCAACTCAATCAGTTACAACAGATTCATTCTACTTTTAACTTACTGTTCTGCTTTTATCAACATTTTGCTCCCATAAAATGTAAAAATAATTTTTTTGAAATTTATAAAACAATTTTCATTGTAAAAAAATAATATCCTGCAGTTCAATATAATTTATGTCCCAAAGTCCCAACATTTCTTGAATTTGGATTAAAACATTTTTACTTTTTGTTCAGCCCACTTACAGTGTTTACTGGGAAAATAACATTAGTCTTCCCCTGATCTGATAATATGTGTATATGTTAAACCCCATGCTCTACTTTTCAAAGATAACAACCTGTTGCCTGCCTTACAACAACCGCAGAAATCTTACCATGGCTTGGGCCTGGTTCAGGAAACTATTGGTTGTGGAAAAACACCTTTCTTTTTCCCCTCTGTCACCATCATCTGTTTTTCTTCTGCTTCTTTTCACCTTGCTCCTTCCATTTTCAGCAGTGGATTCGCTCTCTGTCTCATAGTCAAAGAACTTCCTCAGCAGCGGCTCAGCGTTCTCAACATGAAAGTCCACCTCAGTTTAGAGAGGAAATATGCAAATTCAACTGAATTTTTCGTACAATTTTTACATTTAAAAAAAAAAAGATTATAGTCTCCTAATTTTAGTCCTCTATTGCGCATCAGACTTACGTCTAAAAGGTTGTGGGCTTTGCCATGGAAATACACGGTCAGGTTGGCAGAGGCAGAACTGGGCAGAAAGGATTTTGGAGAGAAAATCAATGACGTTTCCACGTTTTTAATTCCAATGCCTGAAACACACAGAAACAAACAGAATGGATACATGGCAGTGGGCTGCTTGGAGAATACCAATTATATGCCTAAATGCTTAGCCACCTCTCATTACATAAGCCGTCACTTTATAATTATCATCAACTTATAATTATCTACTTGTGTAAATACTAAACTCTGGTAGAATGGTCTTATGGAAAAGATATACATAACAATATCCAATATCTGGCCTGACATTGTTATTACCTGAAACGTATGTGTTGTCTGAATATGAGGAATATTTTAAAAACTCTGCTTCGAAATCACGGCTGATAATGTCGTCAGGTAGGGATTCGATTAAGGCCTGCTTTGTGGGATCCTCACTCCTCAGGACATTAGTCAGATGGCTCCACACAAATGAACCCACTGTAAAAAGAAGATTATACAGAAAAAATAATCAAAAAGTTCTTCAAGGAATAAAGTAAAAGGCAAGCATCTGTCCTAAATGCACCAGGTGCGTTAGGCCTACATCACACAGATCTTTTTTTCACATTGGAGGTCAAATGGCATTTTGTAGAACCACCAAACAAACAAGAAAGAACATGTTTTCATTCATTCATTTTATTTTCTCTTCAAATATGCCATCTTTTGGCAGTCCCCACTCAAAGATTTTGACAGGTGGTACATGTTAAACCGCAAAATCCTCATCGGACCTTGGCTGGATGTCTCGCTCCTCAGAGTGGTCTTCACCACTTCAAACACTCTCTGGTCGGGGCAGAGCATGAGCTGCTGGTATGCAGTGATCCTGACCTCAGTATCCTCATGGGAAGATCCGTACAGCTGCAACAGCACAGACCGCTGATAGAGGGAAACTGCTGTCAGTAACTGAAGCTGAGCTCCTTGTCACAGCCTCACCTCTTCACCTCCCTTCATCATGAATCAATTATCACTTCATTTAGACTTTCGGTTTTTGAAGGATTAGCTACACTCATTAAGTTTATGGTTATATACAGGCCAGTTTTATACTAAATGCATAACTGCAATATATCAAGCGATTTTTTTTTTCATGGTAATACGAATGGTTTCATGATTAACTCACATCAGCCGTACAGGGAAAGCGTCGGAAGGCTTGGATGGCCGTGAGCCTCAGTTCCAAGGACGTCCTTTGGTCCAGAATGCAACGATTTAAGAGAGGAATGAAGACGGAGGCAGACAAACCAGTGTTTCCCACTGATTTTAGTGCATAAAATAGCTGTTGGACAACATATGGTAAAATATAAGAAAAGGCCTATCGAAAATGATTTTTCTGTGGATCCACGTAAATGGAACACATCTGCATCACATGATCACTAACTCCAGATTAACGGTACTGCACCTCTTGGGCATGACTGGATTTTTGTTCTTCGCATCCCACTTTCAGAGCTGTTTCGACTTTGCGTATGAATTCCTGCACTTGCGGTATTTCAGTGCAGGGAGTTGGAGATCTTTGGCACAACTGATAGGTCAGAGATGATCCTGCCAGCAGCGCTTTGAACCGCAGCTCCGGGTCCTCCAGTAAGGCCTGGTGAACAAAGCGAACATCAGCTTGAATGACAATAAATCATCAGTGAATACAAGACTTTTTTTTCATAAGAGTGATTCGGCAATGTCACCCAGAGGTTCCTACAGTGATGGAGCCGATGATGAGTGATGATGGATGTGGGATGAGGGATATAGTAGTAAGATAAGAGTGAGCCAGTCCCTCCTCCAGTTCTTTGTTCATTATCAGGTCAGTTAGTAGCAGAATGCAATTTTCAGACCCACAAGCTGGTAATGCATCCAGTACAGGTTGCCTGCAAGAACATTTAATCCATTAACAATAATATCTATCTTTTTGGTATAATCTGTAACATCCAGATACTATAAATCGTATCAGTGTCTGTATTTCGTTAACATATCATTAAGAATTGATGAGTGGGTATCTCTACTTCAGTATTTTCTGTTAAGGACGTTCTTTTAGGCAATTTAAGTCTGATTCATTTAATAAAAGAATCAGTTGACATTCTAGTTAATAGTATATATATTTTTTTTTTAGCACAGAGTTAGATACCACGCTCATGTCTGCACAATTATATGATGTCAGGGTTTCCAGCAGAGAATTAGTTTAGCAGTGATGTGGAATACTTATAGCAGTTGCTTAAAACACAGTAAAGAGCTTGCTGCTGTGCAAAAAATTACGCCTGTTTATACTTGCTCACTTCGGGTAAAAATGTAACTTAATCCAACTTTAAGATTGGAAAAAGAACCTGTCCCTATATGTATGAGTTTAAACTATCAAACTGACTAACTAAAAACTTTTATTATAGTTTCAGTATGAGTTAGGATACTTGTATTTTGGGCTATTGGTCCTGAGGTGCAACGATGTAGCCAATTGGAACGGATTTAGTTCAGTGCTTTTAAAGAAGCAATGACGTCATAGCCGATATAACATTTTCATTGTCATAGATTAGCTAAGCTTAGCATTAAAAAAAGAAACAAAATTTGTAGATATTAGTAACAAACTTTAAACTACTGCATATTGACTATCCATCTATCCATTATCATAATTGCTTATTTCCTATTGGGGTTATGGGGGGGACTACTAAGTACTAATTATCCATATGATCATACTACATATCCTTTAGTTTGATTTGCTGAATTGTTTTCAAGTTTTAAGATGAATTATGCACTGGGTCCTGCAACTTCAGGAGCACTTGCTGCTTTTCCAAAAAACAGCAAATGTTCTAGGAGTGATGTGATATTTCCAAATCATTCTTCTTTTATTAACTTCTATTTAGCTGTGAAACAAACCGAACCTAAATGTAATGTGATTGTCAGGTAATATTGGTAAAGGTCGCTTACTGATTTATTTGTTTAAAATTACTCGCCTGCTTAAAGTATAGGTTAATTAAAATATATAGAGGTAGATAGGAAAAAAGATTGTATTCCTTAGAATATAGAGACAGATCACATGTGAAAAAGTAAAAAAGACGAGAAACTGGAGAACGCGTAATACAATAGGGGACTATGAGACTTTGGGGAAATACAGACCAGTCATTGCGACACTTGAAAGATGCCCCTCGCCACAGAGTCTTCAGTTGAGACAGTGTCATATGTTTCAGTTGAAACACCAGCTGCAGAAACTCCTGTGATACCTGGAACACATTTGGTCAATGTCAAACGCATATATGAACTTGTGTTAATGGCATCGTGCAACTGCATGTTACTCCCCAGTGTATTTAAATCACTGTCCTTATATCAGAGTAAATCAACTCTTTAAAAGCTACAGTCAGGAATCTGGCTGCAATGGAGTCTTTGAAAGAAATATAAATACACAATGATGAAACTTTGGATGGGATGTGAAATAGGTCTTCAAGGGGCTTGGGAACCTCAGGAGAAGTCATGACTTACAAATACAAACATGCAATCAGTGGTCAGGCAGTGTAAAAATAATGTTAGTCATTCGTATTCACCGCTGAAAGAATATGCCATAGTGAAGTATAGAGTGAGTGAAGTAAAACACACAAAGAAGACCCTTAAAAGCAGGATTGGACCTGCTGCGTTTGTGGCCTACCAATTGTGGGTCTGAACTGAGGCTACATAGCAATCTGACAGTCTCAGCAACTGCCTGTGGTGTTGATCGACTGGTTTGTCTTTGCTCAGATGTCCCTTCATCCACAAACTGCAGGTCGGTCAATACACCAATACCAAGGGACTCTGCAGAAGAAGTCGGGAATGCAGGCGTAAAAGTCCTGGTTTACTGAAGAGCAGAGGTGCAAAGGGGGGAAAATGAACATTTGATCCGAGTCTTACCTGCTCCTGAAGGATGTCCTGGCTGAGCTCTGAGCAGAATTAATGTGGACACAGTTTGGGTCTTAACCAACCCAGGAGCCCCAGATCCAGTCCCCACGGAAATGATTTCGGTACAGTTAACCTCTTCCATCACTGTTGCCCCGTGGCGCTGAACGCAACGGAGTTCCATTTGCACTGACTGACAACAAAACAAAGAAAATGGTTATGTAAGAGGAGTGAGGAACAAAAAAAAAAAGTAGTTTATGTTGAGATTTGACACAAAATAAGTTGTCTGTGCATGTTCTTAGCACAAGCTTTTTGAATCACCCTAATTACTGATGCGCGCACTATTCAAAGTCTATAACCTCGGCGTCCTCGATCAGAAACGGTGGAAAATATAGGCTGTGCTCTGACTCACTGTGTCCTCCGATAGAGTAACTGAATGAGGCCAGAAACGTGCAAGCCTGGACTGCTGGCACCGTTTGAGATCCCTGGTCTTCACAAGTGCTGACCCTCGTCTCTCGTACCTGCTGGTGCATGTACCGTGGATGTCAGTCTGAGGAAGAAGCATCAATCATAAATCTGTCTTAACCGGTATGTCTGGTATAGGCTAAGGTCTGGTATGCTGAAATGAACTATGTCAAAAATGACAAATAAATAATCATCGACAACTTCCAAAACTAAGTTATGTGATCATATGTTCACAGAAACCTTTCAAAGAGCATCAAAAAGGAATGGCAACAACACAAAGTAGTAAAGTATTTGCTTTACAGTTGGATTTGTGTTGTCAACAAAGCAGTGATTCGCCGCTTGATTAAATAGAACATTCACGAGTTCGGCCGCACCTCCTTTTCTTCTTTGAATTTGGTGACCATGGGGGAGGTCTGGAGCATGCTCAGTAGAGCCCTTTTAATGTTGAGAGCCCACACCTGCTCCCCCTCCTGGAAACAGAGGGCTGTGACCTTTCCCCCCTGGAGGGAGAACTTGAGGCGAGTTCTCTCCAGTGTCTCCCTGGGAAACAAAAACACCAGATGAGCCCTCAGAGACCAGACAACACATCCAAGTGGAGCATCTGTGCACATGTATCTCATTCGTAGTAATAATAGTTGTAGAATTCCCAATCCATCTAAGGATTATACACTTGGTGCAATAAACAGTGCGCACACAACTAATAAAAATGAGGTAGTGAGCAACAACAAACAAAAAAAAAACAGGTTAAAAGAAACACCAAAGAAGTGATACGTGCATGGTGTTACCTCAACTTTTTTAAATGCAGCACAGAATGTTCCCTCTGAGGGGAGAGACGTTTTATCTGCGGATTCCTTATCTGTAGGACAAGCATGCACATGAAACCGCAACATAATATGTTTTTTAGATAAATAACACAAACGCAAAGCTTTGCAGAGCTGACCTGCATCATTAGGTGACACTTGGAGACCACGTCGAGATCGACCACACAGTCAAGAGCGAGGCCATTCCTGCCACTGGAGCTGAGAGTGGTGGTGTTTATTGTGGTGGTATACCTGTAAGTGTACCTCATACCCTTTTGATACGAAAAGTCTGAAGCAGTGAACCCTGTAAAAGTGGAATAGTACACTATTAAAATTGCGTATGAGAAAATACACGTTGTTTATTACTTTTTACTTAAAAATACAACATTAAAGGAATAAAAGTATTTGTCTGTAAACCTGCATCAAGTCTATGATGCAGGTTGAAACAAACCAAACTCTCACCAGAACAACTTGAATCACAGAAATTTGGTTCCATCTGATGACAATCACCTACTGAACAAAAGGTCAGAACTCAGACATAATTTGCAAAAATTAAAAACAGCCATCAAGCAAAAAACGTGTCCCTATTCAATACTGAACAACTACAGACAGGCCACAAATATAATCTGCAAAATAAAAGTTTTCAATGCAAAGCAACATAACAAAAATTATCTTAAAGCTTACCATAGAGCAGGAGAAAAATGAGAATAACATGTGTATAACCGGGCAGTAACAGCAACACAGCCATAGCAACCAAAAGTCGGGTCCAACTCTCTCGGAACCTCTACTATGTAGAAGTGAGATGAAAGCCAGGCACTGTTCACGGCCGCTGAATGACCAGGCTTGTATGTGGGCTTCCATACAGCAAAAGGCAACCAATCAGGAAATTCCTTCCAAGTTGGAGCTACAAACATTTACCGAGCCAATCACCTAACAGGGGTCTCACCCCCCAAAAAATGGCATGTTTTCTTATGCAAGTGGTGACTTGGACTGACATTAAACACAGACAGATGGAGAGAAAATTCAGTTTATAGGGTACTTTCATTAGAAATATTTTTGATGAGACATTATTATACAGGCACACAGAAAGAAGATAAGAAAACCACATACTATATCGATATATTTATAATCGAATAGCTAATGAATCACATGTTTAGAGATAATATTATGGTGCACCTCCCTTTTTTTGATTGCTTAAACACATTTGGTTGGTTTTGAGGGAAGACATTCCCATACACATATTAGTCAACATAACCAAGATCAATAAACCACATCAAGCCTGTGGGTTCAACTAAAACCTGATTTATAAGCTTCAACAAAAGGGAATCATGTACGAACGAATGAATACAGTATCTTATGAAACTAGATAAAACATGTTTAAAGACCCAAAGCTTTTCATCTGCAACAATGACTAGATGTAAAATATACGTTTCATTATCGTTTTGAGGACTAATCCAACCAGCCACGTCCTCCCTCCCCCGGCAATGCAGAAAAATTAAACTACCCAACACGCCTTTTATCGTCTCCCCCCATCATTAAACTGACACACAGTGCCACCTACTTTCCACGATTCACCCGCCACCGCGGTCCACGCCCGAGCGTTGCGTGCTGCTGGTTTACGTTGCATTTGAGGAACACGGGAAAAAGGCTGAAAGGAATCCCCACCGTGTCACACACACCGCCATTTTATTTCATCCTAGATTTCAACCTAAGTTCATACAATACTATCGGTGATATTTTTCATATAAACTATACCTTTTACTCTACGTTTCTATTGTAAAGCAGGGAAATATTTAAATGTGCTGTATTCTGCCGTTCCATCTCGTACCTAACTGGAAATAGCACCTCCTCTTGGCTAATGCACTCTCGTGTGTTGTGTACAAGTACACAAAATAACATTTTATACTAATTGGGCCCGCGACAGAGCAACTATAATAACAAAGTAATCGTATATTCATGAACATTTAGAGTGACCGACTAATCTAAAAAGTTTTAACCGGTGACTTGTGAACGCATCTTCATTCCGGACCAGGGGGCGTGGGTTAGACCGGCTTTCTCGGAGGCTCAGACACAATGAACCGTCAGACAGAAAGGGGCACGCACGTTGGGCCCGCGGAGTTAGCACGATTTTAGCCTATTATTGTTCTTAGTTTTGCGTTTTTTTTAGACTTTTTGATTAATTCTTTAACTACTGATACATTATATGGCTGAAAAGAGACCGGACTGGGAGCAGTTTGTTCGTCGAGTTTGATGAAAACGAGGTCCGGATCAGACTGTTACCGTTAGCCCCTCCTGTGGTCGTTTTCGTTGGTTTTTATTTTTATTTTTTCTGGTTGAAGACAAAAAGAAGACCGAGCAGATAACAATGTCGTTGACTTTGTCGTCTGATTATTTCGCCGCCGAGTGCTTGGTGTCGATATCTAGCGGTCCTGTCCTGCACAGACCCACCCCGGTCGCCCCCGCCAGCCAGTCCTCCGCCGCGGGCCTTCTCCCCGGGGATCCGGATGGGTCGAGCGAGGACAGGGAAGTGCGGGAGACCCTGAGGCTGGAAGGGACGAACATGATGACGGTGGCCGGTATCCTCACCGACCTGCACAGCAAGTTCCGCCCTATGTCGGCCTACTCGGAGAGCAGCAACTCCTCGTGCGGGGGAGAGAGCGGCTACACCACGTTGTCCGACCCCACCACCCCTACCATGACCCCCTCCGCTACGCCGGTGCCCGGACAGCAGCAGCAGCCTTTCGGGGGGGCCGGCGGCGTCGGGCCCCCGCGGTCCCCGGTCAAGCGACACCAGTGCACTTTTGACGGATGCGACAGAGTTTACGGGAAATCCTCACACCTGAAAGCACACATCCGGACACACACAGGTATGGGAAACGACGACAGCAACCGTGTGGTTGAAACGACACCCCACAAGTTGTGTGTGTGTATGTGTGCGTTGGTGGGAGTGGGGTACACAAGCTAGCCTCGGGAGATATGGCTAAACTTTGTTCCCACGTTTCGTTTTTGGTGCCACAACTCGTCAGACCAGGTCAAAATGGGTTATCGTTTTGTCGGTTTAACTTTCTTGTGTCGTGTCACACTTTTTTTTTCGCGGTACAATAACGTGGCTATACAAAGACGGGGAAAAACAAAAAAAAGCCCACCTCCCCTGAGTGACTCTGACAAAGAAGTAAACTAACAAAAGAACGGGGTGGACGTTAAAATCTGTGACGAAATTCTTCCTCCCCATTGGATTTGCATATGAAATGAACGTAAGACGAAACCTTAACGTCGGGAACGCGTAGTTCATAGAAGGACGTTTTAATGGCAGCAGCTCGCGCGGAGTGGTTTTAGTTTTATTTTTTTTAAGCATCACCTCACGTGTCTGCGCCAGTGTCCGCAAAGTTGTTAATTATTGATCAAAACGGTCGAAGAACCCGATGTAAGGCGCCCGGTTTGATAATGGGAGCGTCTGCCCCATGTGCTGTCTGTATTTTCTTAACAAACGGTGACCATATTTATGACAACCGCACCACCGAGTCGTCACTCGGCCTCTTTCTGTGAAGCCGGTTGATTGAAAAAATAGTCCGCCCCGTGGCACTGATGCCAGGCCTGCTTTGAAATGTACAGGTTGTTTTTCAGACAAATTAGGGAGGTTTTGCTGGTGTGTCCAGCGTTACCGAGCAGGCGCAAATGGATTAGGGGGGCAGGAAACGGCTCAAAGGAACTGTGGTGGAAACGCCCACGGGGAGCTCTGTAACAACGTGGCTGGGCTTTGTGATCTTGAAAATGGCAACCGAGCATCCTACTCGCTTATCCCGGGTTTGACTCATGTTGCCTGCAAGAGATTAAGGCTAGCGGTGGCTTAGTAGGACTAATCTCAAGTGTCCAACTCCTACAAATGTTTTGCTGTGAATTTGACTGTGTGCTGATCAGGATTGGTACCCACTCCCTGTACTCTTGTTCATTTAGTCTGCCCCTGAATCTCAAAAGCAACATTTGGTCTCAAGGTGCCGGTGTCGATTTTTAAGATTTTGTTCATTTTAAAGGGGATTATTATATTATCCCTAAATCTTGCTACTTAGAACAAGACTGCAGTCTTGAGTAATTCTTTTGATCATTCTATCCTATTTATATAATGAAGTTTCATTCACAGAGAAGCCTCCAAGCACAAAGCTGGGTTATATCATGCTGGATGAGAGACGGGATCATTTGCAAGGCGCTGCGGCTGTGTAATTTGCACAAAGCGCATGCGAATAATCTTAATTTTCCAAGAGCTGTCCTATTTGAACAGGTGCCATCAACCTGCAGATGTACAACACATTGGCCGGTGTTGGCGTCTCCGATGGCAAATAGCTGTTTAGTTTAGTTTCCTTTCGTTCAGTTTTGGGAAAAAAAACTATTTTGTCGGTCCAGTGGGGTTTTGATTTAATGTCATCGTCAACATCCTCCCCCGGAAAAGCTCACGGAATCTCTTCATTCTGTTGTAGGTGAGAGGCCTTTCCCATGCAAATGGCCTAAGTGCGAGAAGAAGTTCGCCCGCTCCGACGAGCTCGCCCGCCACACCCGCACCCACACGGGGGAGAAGCGCTTCCAGTGCCCCCTGTGCGACAAGCGCTTCATGCGCAGCGACCACCTGATCAAGCACGCCCGCCGCCACCCGGACTTCCAGCCGTGGATGCTGGGACGCACCAAGGCCGCGCCCCCGGCCTCTAAGAAAGCCGTGCCGAATTAGGAGGGGTTGGGGTGGCAGGTTTTTTTTGGCCGACCGAAGCAGATAAGGTCACTTTTGTTTCAAGTCAACCAGCTAAACTCAAATCCACTGACTAGGATTTAGCCCCGCTGTGTTCTACTCCAACATGCGCGCACACACAAGCCGCCACACACGTAGCAGGATGTTAGGGGGATAGTAAGTTGAGTCATTTGACCACCCACTCACTTGTTCAGCATAATTAGGGTTGTGGTTTGAAAAGGTTCCCCTTGCCGTTTCATCCCCTTTTTTTCTCCCCTCCTTCTTCTTCTTCTTCTTCTTGTTTTCTCAAAGCAACACGTCGGACCTATTGCACTTCCATTTGAATCCCCCGGTCACACATGTATCAAAGCGTGTGTGTGGTGTTTACAAAATGGAGTGAGCCTTCAAAAGTGTTGCCAAACCTCACAAAAGACTGAAAAAAAAAAACACAAGCTCTGCATGAAATGATACCGGGGAAAGTTAGGCGGTCAATTAATATGACGACGAAGGAACAGCAGAGTGGAACACATTGTTTAAGGGTGTGGTCGCATTTCATTGAGAACTTTTTAAAGATGTCAATTTTGGGGTAATTAGTTGAATTAGATAGACCTTCGTTATCAGTCAAGGTACAAAACCACAGTAAAAGCAGTCCTACCCCCCCACCCCACAACATTCTAAAAACATATTTAGAAACAAACAAGTGGCACAGTGGGTAAATATTGTTTTCTAACCAAATAAATCACAAAATACCTCATTGTATATTACAGGTTTATGGCAGCACATTTATTTTTCTCAAACGTCTTTATCGTCTTGCAGATTTCGAGATGAAACCCACCCAACCCTAATGAAACCTCATAATCACAGAATGAAACACTCAGATTTCAGGGATTTTTCTTCATCTTCTTCTTTTTTTTTTCAGTGTACACATTCATCATCAACCAAAATTCCTCTGGTATTTCGTGGTTAAATAGTAGATTGTTGTGTTGTTCAGTTCCATTTATTTACCTTGAGTAATGTTGTGATATTAGAAAGTCAGGCAGTGACTAGAAGCTTTCCCCCCTCCCTTATTTTTAAGTTGATTTTTTTTTATTTTGGTTGTTTTAGTGTAGCTTGTTTTTGGCTTTTAGTGGTGACACATTCCTTAATGATTTTATTTTTCATTGCATTAGCAACTATCATTACTGAGACTTTTTATTTGTAACTATATCCATTTGGACAATAGCTCAAACATGAATTCTGCCAGAAAGTGGATGAAATTTCACTCTAAAAGAGGAATATGCACGCCACTCCGAAGGCTCCACCAGTTATCCACAAAATTCTGACACATAATACTCGACAGTATTATGTCTAATATCGATGCAAATGTACATAAGCTTTAAGCTTTTACTGTAGAGAAATGGTAATGCTACTAGCAGCAGAATTTATACATGTAATAAATTGTAGTCCTTATATTAGGGGTAACATATGCTTGATAGGATGACATTGCCTGTATGATGTGTATGTATGTTGAAAAGTGTGTATGCAATGGATTTTTTTTTCTTTTTCTTTTTTTTTTTTTTTTTTTTTTTTTCATGAGTTGAGCTCGAGCTTTCAGCCTGCTGCCTTCAGTGCGTTCAGTCCACTCGTCTGGGACAAAGATCCAGACGGCACAGCATGGGGAACTTAGTAAAAACTTAGTAAATCAAGGTCTCTCTTTTTTTTTTTCTCAACTTGTGAATAAGTGGTATTGGATTTTTTTTTAAAGATTTTTTTTTTAAATTGACAGCAAAGCTAATGCGCAGATGCTACTAAAAATTCTAAAGGTGGCCGGGTAGAGACCAGACCGGCATCGTCGACACGCAAAGAGAGAGGAGGGGTGGCGCTTTTCAGACTTTCCGTGGCTCAAAAAGATAACTTCAAGTAGTTTGTGTGTTTTCAGTCCCTTTTGTGTGCAAATACTGTAGGGTACAGGTCTGAACGTAGACGCGTTGGTCTCTTTTGTCGTGGTTCCCGCGCCCTTTGGCCCCTCTCACGGACGTCTTCTTTTATCTCAGTGACAACAACTTCTTCAGGAAAAAACTCTGAAAGCCTTAAACTATGTCATAACTACTTTGCACCGTGTTTACAGTCGGCTCATTGTATAGGTAGATATACTCCCGCTTTGTGGGGGCGTTACCGAAAAAACTCATGCAATATGGCACTTTTTTTCTGAGAGGTATTAGGCTGAAGAGCGTAGAGGCTTGCACTGTTACTGTGTTTCTACAAGCAAGCATTGTGGAACTTTGTGTATGTGTTTATAACCAATGCTTTTGTTTAGAAAGGAAAAAAAACAAACAATTTTCTGCCTTTTTCATTTGCTTTACGAAACAATGTTGAAATGGGTAGTTGTTGCTTTTAGTTGCTCTATATTTTTTTCCTGCTTATTGTTGTTTGATTAGTGATCCAGGCTATCCTTTTTTTATCCCTTATTGTGGAATTTGTGTTTATATTCTAGAATGGAATGCTTTTTCTTTTTTTTTTCTTTTTTTTCGTCCGCTTTAAAAAAAAAAAATCTCATCCCATATCTGTTCACTCGGTTTCTTCCAAACTAGGATCAGAACGGGGGCCGGGAGGAAGGGTGGGGGGGGGTCAACCGCAGATGTCTTCCTCTTTCACGCCGAACCATTTTCACACAAAGCAGAAGCCCGGTGCCACTTCGCCCGCGAGTGTTCAAACCCTGCACACAAAAAAACCTCTCACCAGAGCCCGAAACGCTCTCGGCCACTGCTGGCAGTCGGCCGAGAACCCCTCGGACCGTTTTAGCAAATGAACAAACTCTATTTTCACACGGAAATCTCTCTCCTTCCGTCTCTCCTCGCAGGTGGAAGCAACATTTGAGACTCAAAGCTGTAAAATCACAAGAACATACCTCACTGTTTTTGGTTGTTATAGTTTTTTTTTTTTCTTCTCTCTTTTTTTCCTTTGCAGTGTCTGTACAGATTGCCATCCAACCTGTCTGTCAGAAATTCCTATACACCTGTTCTAAGTCTTGAAGGTTTGTTTTTCAGCAGTTTGTACCCCTTGTCCTCACCGACTATATGCAACACAAATACTACCTTAGTAGCAGCAGAACTCCTTTTACTTGCCTCTGTGAACGCGTCGGGAGTAAAAGTCAACAGAGAAGTCCTCTTAGGAGTGTCATTAAGGTTTCTCCGCAGCTTTTTTTCTTTCTTTCTTTCAAACAAAATTTAAATAAAGGGTTAAACTTCATCACTGGCTTGGGTAGAAACTCAAAAGGGGCATTGATACAGAAAATGACTTGTAATTCATTGAAACAAAAAAAACAGCTCAGTCCAGATCTATTTGTTCATATCACAGAATGTGGCTTTTTTTTGCCTTTTTTTTGTTTTTTTTGCTTCCAATTTCCCTCACTGCGGCAGAGAGGGGGGGGGCACACTAATTCAGATATGCACATTGTACAGACGTGGATGTTTTTACTTAATTGATTGCTAATTTTTATATAATGTAATTTTTAAACTCCTCTTACCAAAGCTTTAGGTAAGATTAATAGGAGGAACCGTGGAACTAAGTAATTGCTGCAAAAAGCTGTTTTTTCATATTTATATTCTCAGGCGTCTTAAAGTTCGAGCATCGGAGTTTCAATACTTGCTGTGCAACACCGACATATAAGCATGTTATTTTCTTTTTGATGATTAATTTATTAGGTATCTGTTGTGTGGTTTAATTTTTTTTTCTTTTCATAACTCATTTTGTGACGTGGGACTATACTAATATTAAATGGTTCCACTGGTTGCTTGATCTTTGCTTTATTATTTTTTTTTCCTTTTTAAAAAAAAAATAAAAATTCCTAAGTTTATAGTTTATCTCGGGTGTGTGCAGTGTCATGTGTTTCCTCTTGTGTGCTGAAGCGTAAACACAGGTGTCTGAAATTGAAATGGTGGGGGTTGGGGGGGGGGGCCTTGAAATGTTCTCAAAAATGTGCTTGAAAACTACAAAGTGTCTCCAACCAGGACTCTCGTCTAACACGTTTTTTTGAGGCTGTATTTGAACCCTTCAACACTCATTAGAAAAGTACTAACACGGGCCTCCAATGACTGGTTTTATTTTAGATTTAAACTCATTAAATGTTGCCATTACAATGGCTGTTTATTTCAGACCTCAGAATTAAGTCGAATCCTCTCTCTCACACAGACAAATATGCTCTTAATATTGTGAAATTAGTTTGGACAACCAGTAGAAAATACAAGATCCCACCTGGATTTTGACTCGGCTCACCAGTTCCAGTACTACAGGTGTTTTTGGTGACCATGCGCCATCACGAAAGGCTTCAATCCAGACTAACATTTCCTCTGAGCTCTCAGTTCCTGACCATTTTCAAGTAATAGCGATTTAAAACCAAATTCCCCTGTTTTATACTGAGATTTTAGATAACTCATTGGCCTTCGATAATAGATTGGAAATTAATGAAGCAAAACATTAGACCGCTATAACTATGTCTTTTTCTAATTAAAAATGAAGGTGAATAAATAGAATTGGATATCTTAATCAACAAATGATAATGATCTTTACAACTTTTTTGTGAAGCTACATTTTAAAAATGCATTGATAATATTTGTATTTTACCATTAAGAATATAATTTCAGCTTCAGAGCTTCTACATTCTGATGTATTCATCATCACAGAAACTTAAAAGAATTCTGTTTGTAACAACTAATCCTGTCCATTTAGCTGAGACGGAAAACTTACATCAAGTGGTGGTTCATTATTATCGTAGTAGACAAAGAGATGTACATGAATATATAGCTAGACCAGATAGATTCTCTTGTACATGTGTCTACACCTCCCTCAATTATAATCCATCAAAGTGAATTACAATACAAATTTTATAAAGCTGAAGTTTTTTTTGTTGTTCCATTTGGGTAGACACATAAAGAGGGAATTATCTGAAATGCTGAAAGAAAACTAAGAAGGGCAAAGAAAAAACGACACATGACACGGTAAAGGTTTTGTGAGGCACTGTTTTCCATAGTGAAAAAGATTAGAGAACAAAAATGGCCTGCAGGGATTAGGCTGGTTGGCATGCCACGCTCTGCTGCCACTGTGGCGGCCATGTTATTTTGACACGACACAAACAGGCCCAATGTTTCCGGACGTTCCGGCCTGCTGGGACTCAGTCTTTTCTCCCGCTGACTCCGGGCCCCGCGCCCTCGGATCGGGCCCCGTGGCTGTGCTGGGCTCTGCCCCGGTCCCAGTCGGTCTCCGTCCCTTCGTCGTCCCAGATGGTGGACGTCTCCGTGTCGCTGTAGTAGCCCTGCTCGCCGGTGTAGCGTGTGGGGAAGAGCAGCAGGGGCTCGGCCGAAAAGGCCTTCAAGTTCCTCTCCTCAAAGTACCGCATGTACTCATCTCTGAAAGGACGTCAAGCAAAGACTGACACAATGACTCCATTAAAAAAATTAAAAGGCCATATATATTCCTTTTTTTTCTCGATTTTGTTTGCTCTAGTGGCCTTCAATGACAGTAGCTTGACAGGAAGGGGGCAGAGATAAAGAAGGGGGGACCTGCGGGAAAGGGCCATGGGTCGGAATCGAACCCAGGCCGCCCGCTTATGAGGAGAAAAGGCCATATATATATATATATTTTTAAAAAGCCAGACTCACCTGGGGTGCTTGTTGAACATAACTGGAAGGAATTCGTCCACGGGGAGCATTTTGTTCAGAGGTTTTGCCCTCAGCAGCTTCTTGGCGCCGGTCAGAGACAGCCCGTAACCCAGCGTCCAGTAGGAGTAGCCCGGGTGCACGAGGTTACTGAACCCTTTGACCCAGTTCTCCGGCTCCTTCACCTGCAGCCTCTTACGCCCAACGTAACTACGAGGAGACAAGCACGACTCACCACCAAAAAAAAACCTAAACCGAACAGATCTTGAGAAATGAAGAGGTAGAGAATTTTTTTTTTTTTAAATACTTACATTAAGTCCCACTCAAGCTCGGCCCTCTGCACATCGCTCATAATGGCGGCCATCCGGCTGTAAAACCTGGGCTCAAATCTCACATCGTCCTCCAGGACGAGCACCTGCTGCAGTTCCCGCTGCACCACCTGGGGGGCGACACATACCATCACTGTGGTGGTTACCCCCCCCATCCCCTCACAGCCTGTGACTGTACCTGTTTCCATATGTTGAAATGGCTGAGGAAGCAGCCTATCTCTCCCCTGGTCAGCACGCGGTCAGAATAAGGGTCTTTGTACCCGGGCAGCATGTCTATGCCCATGGCCTGCAGCCGGGAGGAGGTCAGGGCTCTGTGACAGACCAGGGGGAATTTATGGAGGTGAGTCTCATGGAAAAGGTTTCCCTTCGTTTTTTTTCTTCTCCAGCAACAATTCTTAAATCGGTAAAGCTCCAGAATGATATTGGAAAAGCAAAATGGATCCATCAAAGAGAACTAGGAAACTTATTTTCAACCTGTTAAATTAAAGTAGTTTGTGAGTCACATTTCTATCCGCTTGGCTATAAAAACAGAAGCGATTTGATCTTAGATCTAATCCAAGATCTAAACATTTAAAAAAAAAACTTAGATGGTAAACCAGCTCCGCTTACAGCATTAAAACCATGGTCGTAATTCCATGCACCATTTGATCCTACTCTTTCTATGTTTGAAGAGAATGAGATTTTTCATTTGAAGATTTTCTACTTATCCTCTCCTGGGCAAAGCATATTCTACTCTATGAATTCAGCTCACTTGTCAGAATGAATCACAGTGTGAATGGCCATCCGCAAAAGCATTGATACATCAAAGAGCCTCTTTTTTTTCTTCTTTCGTTTTTTTTTTTTTACAAACTCCTTGTAACAGTGAAAAGCCTTTTTTTTCTCTTTGGTCTGTAGCATAAGGACTCATTTGCAAGTCATGGTTGCCGCTTTTGTATTCATTTTCCTTTTTTTTCCTGATCATTGCCCATAAATTTCAGCCATCTCAAATGTTTTCAGAACATTTTTTAAGGCCTTACACGTGAAACTGAGTTGATATATAAGACTTTGATAGCAAAATGTGACCATATTTTAAGCTTTAAAACAGCCAGAGGGAACACAAGATAGATTCCTATATAATTGTAATGATAACAGACTAACTTTTCAGTTCCATTTTAGAAAAATATCAATTCATATGCAATAGGTTTACTTGATGTTATGTGACATATAGTTTGGATGTAGGCTTACTTGAATAATGGATCATTCTAAGCAGGAATCGACAATGTAGTGGTGAGAAGTACTCTGGCTTTCCTCCCAACATCCCAAAACCTCCATATAAGTTTAGCCGGTGTTTCTAAATTGAACATAGGACTGAGTATGAGCATGCATGATTGTTTGTGTGGCCCTACGATTGACTGGTGGCCCATCTAGGCCTTCCCCCATCTTTTTTTGCACAATGGCAGCTGGGATACAATCAAGCCCTTCTGTGGCTGCTAATTGGATTTAGTGAGTGAAGTAAAGGGTGGACGTTTTTTGTTTAGGCGTGAGTATCTTAAACCATTGTTTCCAAATTCTGCCGGGAGTCTTAAATTCGGTTAGTAGACCTCTGAATGTCCTACTTGCCATCCACGGCCTCAACCAGAGTTGCGTTGATGCCCAGAACAGCCAGAGAACTCAGCATCCTTTCCCTTCTGTCGGAGCGCCGCTTCAAATTGACCAAAAAGATCTGCCATGGAGGAGAGAACAGCGGTTCTTTTGTTACCCGGCGCCAGAGGGGATAAGCTCCCAAAAAAATGTGTCCGTACCTCATCAAATCCCATCTTCCGCGCTTCTTTTGGCCTAGTGTGCAAATATTGCGAGGGCTCCATGGTGTAGTCGACTGGAAATGAAGCGGGAATAAAAATTCCATTTTAAAATGGAATGATAGTAAAGAAACATATTGCACAGTCCTTTTCGAGGGGAATTCGTTAGATATGTTCAACATCAAAAAGACGTGAAATTCCCAAGAAACTGAGTGGACGAAAGTGAAATCCAAGGCTTCAGGCTCTTATCACAAGAGTGAGGCATGTGCCACGGTTACGAGAGCAGAGCAGGCCAAATTTACAAACGGAAACTTGCGAGCAGAGGCTGGAGACCCAAAGTCCACCGCCATAGGTCAGTGCATCTGTCAGTCGCACTGCCATATGTATGCTCAGAGCTACTTACTGAGCGCCTCCGTTAAAGTGTGAGAAAAGCTCTCCTCCTCTTCCTCCAGAGTCTGGTCTTGTCTGAGGGGAACTGGTAAATATCCATAATGGTTCCTGTTGCACACATACATCTGGACGCCTGCATACAAGGGAGATTTACGTTCCAGAAAGTATAACATTTCGGTGTTCTGTCTGTTTGATTAGTTTCCTATTAAGGAGATCTGCTTAAACAGCTCATGCTTAATTCTTTCATTTTTAGTTTAAGCAACATAATCTTAGATAATATGATATGTTTACATCAAATACCTATCATATTAAATAGTTTAAGTGCTTTAAAAAACATTTTTAAACCATTATACAGTGAAATATTTGAAAATTTCTTCAGATGTCTTGAAACAAATAAAGATTTCCAGACGTTAGCTGGACTACATTTTATAAATTTGTGTACATTTGTAAATGTGACTTGTACATGTGACTCCAAAACATTGATTTCTGGTAATACATTCTGGAGTTAATAAGAAAAAGAAAGAATATGAATGATTAAATAAGAACTTTCCATCAAAGCTGTTGTCTGTTCAGAGTTTCCGCTAAGATCTGCCCTCTTAGTAATGAGAAGAGAACAAAGGTTTGATAAACTGGTACACATATAAAAACTTCACAATGACTTTAAAACAATGTAAACAGATGATAGTCAACACATGATATGCCATAACAGGTCACTCTTTCTTTTGCAAAAGCCAAGTCAAAATCCAAAAGATGTTTTTTGGAAGCCCAAGGTTCATTAACTTGTACCAGCCATGAGTTAATGCTGTTGTTTTCAGTGTTTCAATATGGGATGGAGCCTTTCTGGGCTACTATTTTTCTGTTTATAAGATTTTTTTTATATTTCTTCATCAACATAGTTAATAGCTGACACATCTTTTACACACAGGACATTGTTACACAGTGTAATTGGTTTGTTCATATGCAGCGTTTTTAAAACAAAGTAGCTGTTGCTTTTACCTGCTATTCATCCAGACAAACTATACTTGTACAGTTACTTTTTTTAAAACTGTGCTGTCAGGAACTTTAACATTTAACATGCTAGCTGATTCCTGCAGCTTCTGAGATTTGAATACGAGTCTTAGACAAAATGAAGCCGGTCACATATTTTCTTTCACTTGCGAATATTCTTTTTGTTACTGTAGAATGACGAAATCCTAATACTTTGGAAATATTTTTACAATCGTTTCCAGACTGATTTCTCTAAGGATTGTGCTAATGTCTTTCCTCCTTGGCATTTTTTTCAATAAACAGCTGGGTGTTCCAGCGTAGAAAAGTATCCAAACATCAGCTTTTATTGACTGTTTGCATTTTTGTGTTTAGCTTTTACAAATAGATACAAAAAATCTGTTATATCCCGCTTATTACTGTTGATAGGAGGTTATTGCCTCTTTATAAGACCTGGAAAGATGTACTCACTTGTTCACAAAACTAGACAGGAAATGCAGATTTTATAGGGTTTAGTTCAATTTATTTCTTCCAAAATTGAGAGTTACATTTTGGTGTTTGACGTTTCTTTGAATCAGCGAAGTGTTCCCATCTGATTTGCATGAAAATCCAATCAAAGCCTAAATTTAAAGGCCTGACCTGCTTTCCTGGCGGAGAAGGCGAAAACCATGATGTCATCTAAGTCGTACGGGTACTCCGGGTGAGGAGGATAAAAGGCCAAAGCCTGGCTGGCTTTGCGTCTCAGATCCAGCAGGTAAGTGGAGTGCACCATGGGGACGGCGAAGCAGCCCTGTCGCTTCCACTCACGGATGGGAATATACTCAGGAGTCCGTCTGTAGTAGCCCTGGTTGGGCACAGATGCCACAAAAACAGCCAATTGCTCGAGGTTTTCATGTGAAACTTTAAACAAGTAATTTGCTCACTGCATTGCGCTTACCTGGGAGGTTAAACCACACCAGAAGTTAGAGTAAAGACTCTTTGATTCCAGCATGGGGGCCACAATGGTCAGGTTTTCTGCGATCATGTCAGCGACCACACGCCGGTTTGTCAGCAAGTTGTCGCTGTCCACAAACTGATGGAGCGGGAAAAAAAATTAAGTGAGCTGGCAATGTTTGAATCTGACACGTTATTTTTGATTAGTTTGTGTTTTGCTTATGCTCGTCTCACCAGGATGTAATCTGTCCAAAGTCGTTTGGCAGCTCTGAGGGCCGCCTGCTTTAACTTCATCACATGGGTGAATCGGGAGTTGGGCCAGTGCTTTGGACCTTCCTCGTCCACGTGTGAGCTGAGGAAGAAAATAAAAAGAACTTGTGTTGTTTTTAGTGTGACAAAGCAAGAATTTGAGATTCTCGCGTTAGAATGAGTCGGCTACCTGGGTCGCTCCACGGGCCTCCACTCCACGGAGTGGTACAGGTGTTGAACTCCTCTGAGCCACTCCTGGAGCATGGCTGTGCTGTTGTCCACGCTGTGGTCAGAGGCTGCCCTGCGAGATCACAGAGGACATTTCTCTCCGTCTTTCCTCAAGCCAAAGAGTCAAACACAGAATGGTCTCATTTGACAAAAACATATATGTATGTACACCATGTGTGAGCTTTTATTTTGCAGTATCTCTTTAATTCAAACCTGCCCTGTTTATTAACAAAAATTCAATAAATCATCATTTGATTTCTAGTTTTTTTTTAAATAACCACTGCTACTGTCAGTGAGAGTTTACCAAATGGCGATGCGGTCCTTCGGATAATCCAGCCTGTCAATGCATCCCAAGAAGGAGGGCAGGCTGTGCTCTGAGTTGCGTGCGAGGATGGTGATCATCACTGTGGGCTTCAGTAAGAAGGACTCCGGCCGGGCTGCCTGGGGGAGCTGGTCAGCTGGAATCTCTGCTCTGCTGTGCAGGAAGAACCATGCTACTGAAATCACCAAATAAAAACCGAAGCCCTCGTATTCAAACGGCATGTCTCCACCAAAAGAAGTGCTGTCTGTCTGTAGAGTCAGTCTGGTGCAGTTGAGGCTCAGGCAAGAGGTAGACTCACACAGACATGATAAAACACACAGACACATACACACACAGGGCAAACACTTATGCCAAAAGTTGTACAAATTCTTTAGTCACTTATTACAATCATACCCAATTAATTTTTCAGCAAATATATTTACAATTCATGTGCTTTTTTTAAGTTACAACATTATGAGTAGGACCGTTTTAATGGAGAAAATAGACTGAGGTTTTGGGATATTTGGCCCTGGGTTTATTCTGTAAGGCATTTGCTGCGTCGCTCCCCTTCCGACACACAAGCGGAAAAGCAGAAATGGGAGTGGTTTCCACCCGGACGAACTTTCTGGTCGCACGCCGGCAAACGTAAAAACGCAATCTAAACATGCTGTTTCGATTTCTTTGAGTAATTTTAAGAACTTTAAATGAAAATGTCGGAACAAACAGAAGCGTCCGAGAAACTTCACAGTGGAAACTGGATGCTGGACCATCCTGTGGTGAGTTTGAGACTAAAGGACCTGAGCTCTCGTCTCCATGCATCCTTCTATCCATGCGTGCATATGTGTGTATGCAACGACAAATATATATATATATATATATAAACATTTTTTTATTTTTTATTAATTTTTTTATTTTTATATAATGCAGTTACCAACTTTGCTTCATATGTTAGTATAAACAGATGAAAGACATGGAGGTTGCGGACAGCGCGCAGTTACACGCAGCTTTTCTGGTGTACATGGACCTCTCTGAGGGTGAGTTGGAAAATATCTTAAAAGCCAATTGTGTTTGTTGTGTGGTTAGTTGTGTTTGTTGTGTGTAGTGTAGGGCCGACTCAGTGTTTACCTACCAGTGTACAGGTTCACGTAAACTGGTTAGTCTGGACTCCTGTGTAATTCCTTTGAATGTCACAGTTTAGCAAAGGACCTGTTTGAAATTGTGTGTTTTAACACTTTCAGACTTTTAACTAAAGTTGTAATGCTGATAATTAATTTTTTCTTTGGTTCTGCTCTATCAGCCTTTTGCCATGTTCAATTGTACATCTAGCTATGGAATTTGAAAACCAAATCCCCCCCTTTTTATCCCAAAATTATAGCCAGCTCACTAGAATTCTCTGTGACGTTAGAAATGCAATAAGCTGAAAATTCAACCACTTAAACTCTTTTCTGCTCAGGAATACAAATACATAAATAGAATTTGACATCCCAAGAAAGAAAGAATAATGTTTTTCGTGACTATTTTTTCCATTAAAAATCCCGTTTTGGCAAAAGAGCTTTGACATAAAGGTGCATTAGCCATTACAGGAAGAAAATGATTATTTTGGTAACTACTAATGCTATTGCTATTCATTTAGCTGTGGCGTAAACCTTACATAGCATAAGGATCCCATAAAGATTGGAGCACTGTATACCAGCCTTCAATTTCTCCTTTTAAAGATAGACTGATGTTTGCAAACTGGACTGAAAAGCAGTCAAAACGTTCAAATAAAAATAGAAAAGACTATCAGAAAGTCTTGAAAACTGTTGGTCATCTTTATTTTAAAAGATGGTCGTGAAGTACTCGGAAATGAAGAGCGGTTCATAATTCCTCCTTCTCTTGCTTTTTCGTGTTCCACGCAGTGCGTCGGTGGAAGGAGGTGTCCTGTCTCAAGAGTCCTGAACTCCAGGTAGTTCTGCTGGAGGCCAGGGAGAAGGAGGAGACACCTGCTCACACTGTACTCCCCCTTCCGCTTCACGAGCAGCTGAGCCACAGCAGGTGATCAGACTATTTTTATCTTTATTTTTTTCCCACAAATCTCCGGCGACTGACCGTTTCCTCCCCTCTGCCGCTGAAGCATACGCCTCCTGCTGGACAGGGGCTTTCCTCTTCTGCTGTGCGCCGTGGCGTCCGACTCCACCTTGGTCTATCAGAGGCTGACGGACGGGCTGGTGACCCCCGAACCGCCGGCCGGCCCCTTCCAGGATGTGGATCACCGGCAGCGGCGGAAGAGGCGGAGGCAGCGCTGGCCGGGGAGGAGGACGGCGAAAAAAAGGGGGGGGGGGGGGGGGGGGGGGGGGGGGGCTCCGCGCACAGTTGGCCGACCCCGCCTGAATGTAATATGCATCTGCCTTCTCCCTCGGAGTCTGAGTCATCAGGCAACAGCAGATGGCTATTCACACACTAAATATGAGGATAGGCTCGAGGAGGTCAAGCATCCAGACATACACAAGAAAAATGAGGAAAAACATGGAGAAATTGATTTATTTCTTTTTCTGTTTGCAAATGTGTTGCTTTTCTTTTTTTTTTTTGTTAAACCTTTACGTCAGCCTTATTTAAAAACTCTTAAATCTGCCTTGTTTGAGAGAAAAAGAATACTTTTGAGTGTTTATTCTACTACTGTATTTATTTTTAATACTAAATGTAAAACAAAGAAACTATGCTCACTTTACTGTGGTTATTATGGAGTATTCCAGAATGAAATTCCTAAATATATCTTTTGTTTTGCTGTATATTGCATTTGAAAGACAGCCAGAAATGCTTTGTTATAAAAAGATTTTTGGAGGTTCAACCACTGAGGTTATCCGATTAAAATCTTTCAACCAGGTATTTGAAAATGAAGCCTTCTTTTGAGAATGGAACAAACTATAACGATATATTAACTATAGATTCCAAATAAATGAGTAACGTTAAACAGGTGTGCAGTGATCTGGCTTCTGTTGAGAAGTGGCATTTGTTTCCTGCTTGTACTACGTTTGACTCTACTCCTAAATTGCAATATAGAATAACAAAAGTGTTAAAAGATTCTTTCTAAACTGTCAGTTATTGTTTCTTTGGTCTGCCTGGACAACAAAACTCACTGTGGAAAAGGCTCTCATTGTCTGATTTATGACCTATAGCCTACCAATCAACCCTTAATCCCTTACCTTAGGGAGAGAAATGTTGTCCCGTTATCATTTGATAAAGGGTTCCAGCTGCTCAATAGTCCTGGGCTGTTAAATTGTCCATGCGTTAAAGGGGCTAATGTTCTCCGGTGGTGAACGATTTGGCTTCCCTACAGGCCAGACAAGCACACGGACCAGACGATCTATGAAGCCATGTGTTTATAGACCCCATGTGTGCTTTGGCATTGCCTTGCTGATATATGCAAGACCTTCCCTGAACCTAAGATGGAGGATGCCACGTGTACTGAAGGGTTTTACACTTTAAATGAGCTCGGGGCACATAGTCGATTTTTGGCTGATGGAACATTAGCCTGCATTTGGCATATGCTCACATTCACTGATTTCTGGAATGGTTTCGTACCCCATGCCGAGACTCCCGTGACCCATTAAAAACCACTCTACAGACTTGTCCAGAATCATAATAATTGATGATATTATTTAGTCAACAGGGGGGATACATTTTTTCTCTAATTTGGTGGCACAATATAGTGAAATTGCTCCACATTTTTACTTTTTTTGTGGCTGAATCTCTGTACAGCTTTCATTCTTTCATTTTTTAGGTGCTACTCATCGGTTGCCAAACAACCTAATCGGTTCCGAAATTTTTCTCAAGCATCTTCTTATTACAGTTTTTCTGGATTGTTTACACACATTTTCTGAAAACATGCCTCGTATTCTCAGAACTCTACACACAAATCCAACAAACACAGACACAATGGGCAAAACCCTTCAATTCTCCTGCAAAATGAAACTTTACATTCAAAACAGTTTTATCTCTTCACAAAAGGCCATTTTGTGTTCAGATGACACACACAAACTATCATATGAACAGACAATTAAAAAAAGCATTTAAACACTGATTTGCTCAGTGTAAAACGCCATTCTCCATTCATCATAATGACTTTTTGTTCAGTGTTACACTTACTACAGAAATTAAATACATAAGTGCGTTGTAAAATATTTTAGAATATTGTTTTTATACTCAGAACACACAAATATACTGTAACAAACATGTTTTTTTACACAGTGTACATCCCAACCGAACTGGTGCTCCACTGCATCCACCTCCAGCTCAAGGACTCTCTGAAACACACATGACAATATCAGAAGTAGACATGGAGCGGTCACTATTGTGAAGCACAATCATTATGATTACAATATAATAGAAAGAAATATGTATGATTTATACAATGTTGACAGTATGCATCAAGGGTGGGAATATATAGGACGTACTTGCACATAGTTATATCGCAATTCTTTGACTCTTTCTGAATTGCGCTCAAATGGCACCCTGTAGACCTGTTTCATCCTCAGTTTATTTCTGTGCAAGACACGGTCCAGCGTTGATAAACTTACCCTATCAATATTTTGAAATATCTCATTGTTTTCTATTGTTTTTCTTTGTATTTGCCGTAAGGTAATGGCGTTATTTTCAAGAACCATGTTCATAATCTCTGTTTCCTGTTCAGGAGACAAAAGACGGCCCCGTCCACCTCTTGTTGGTAATCTTTCAGTTCTGCAATACAAAGAGTGCAATACTGTAAATACTGTGTAGGAATACATTTCCCAAATACTCGAAACACAATGTCCTACAGAACAGTCCACAGGTAATACTGTACTACTGTACTCATTGAGTACTGTATTGATATGCAGTACTGCAGTTTTGTAGTGAGAGTAGATTTCTTACCTATTCTCATTGCGGAAAGTCCGGATGATGGATGCTACAGTGTACCTGCTCAAATTTGGCTGTACTCTTTGCCCAGCCTCCCTCATTGTTAGGCCATGGTTGACCACATGGTCAACCAAAGTGGCTCGGATCTCATCAGAAATGATTGTCCTTGGCCTTCCTCGTCCTCGTCCTCCCCATCGTCCTCCTCTTACTCACACTCCTCTGGCTCTGGCTCTGCCTCTGTTTACAACATTGGCCTCCATTGCTCCAAAACAGAAGAGCTCACCTGTTGCCCTTTTATGCTAAAGCTCTGACTGCTGTGTGGAAACATGTGTGTTAGGTGTTTGCCCATGTGAGGAGTCTGTGTGCATAGTAGGGAAATTAACTTTAGAGTTTTGAATAACAGTGTGTTCCTTGTGAAAACAAAAGATTTTCTTCATGACAATTGTGTGTAGAGTTTTGGAAAAAGTGTGTTTTAGAACTGCAATTTGAGTGTAAAGCAGGAATTGTGCTTGTAGTTTAGCAGAATTGGTTCAGGGGGTTGGTGCATGAGTTACATTTTGTGGTCATTGTGTTTCAAGTACCAATATTTGTGTGTAAACAATCAAGAAAAACTGTAAGATTAATAGGAAGATGCTTAATTTCCCAGTGTTCCCTTACAAGCTGAGCTAATATTACCCGGGAAACTAAGGAAAAAAATGGTAAAACGGAAGTTTTCTATGATTTGTAGTGAGTAAAATGCAGATTTGTGAACTATTACAATGTGAATCTGTTCGCCTTTAACAGTTTCTCCTTTTTGTGAGGGAGTGGGGTTACAGCTGCAAAAATTTCTTCAACCTTTCCGCCACTAGGACTAGGAGTCCCTTAAAATGGTGATTGAAAATGGTAAGTTAATAACGGTAAAACGTATATTTATAGATTTACACAGACTGCAAACGTGTGTCTCCCATTTCTAAAGAGAGCCCATCTGTAAGGACGCGTTTTCCGAACAAAATGTCCTGTTCCATACTGCTCTGGTGTGATTTCTTTCATCAGATGGTTGTTATAATCCTGTCCTCATCCTGCAGATGGTAAAATGGAAGGTTGTGCCAATATTGCAACACTTACAGGTGGGTTTATATCTAAATATTTGCCTCCTCTTCATTTGATGTGAGCTGACATTGTATATGAGGCGTCTATAATGTTTCAATCAAATTCTTTAAACAACATTTTAAAATGTCCACTAATTGTCTAATCACCCACTTCAAGGATTTCAATGACAACCAATCTTAGTTTTATGTCTACAGCCAATCATTGCCACAGTAATGAGGTATTGATTCTGGATAAATCCCCAGCTGTGATCACTAAACTAAAGAGCTGTCTTTTTTTTCTTCTTATAAATCTTGCAGGAGGATTTACAATCTCACAGTTTGTGACATTCTCACTGTTGGTATTTTTGTCGGTATTCTTAAAACACAACAGTGTAACTTAGTGGGATAAATTATTGAAAACAATTTTATTTTCCCTAAAAAAACAAAAAAACAAAAACAGAATCAACATAGAAACAGAACAACAATAACAACACTGGTGAATGGAATACATAATTGGACACACGTGGCATTGCAGTGTCCACCTCGTAAGGGATACGCAGAGCAGAAACGGGAATCATCGGTAATCTCCGCCGCATGAATATATGTGTGTGTGTGTGTGTGTGTACAGTTCACGGTGCAACGACGTCTTGACAGGAGGAAAATGACATGACTACATGAGAAAGACATAACACTTTAACCCTGAGCCTTATTTAATGCGAATACCACAAAAAATCTGAACGGAAACGGGCATGGACAGACGAGCAGGCTGTAGTGGGCCACATACTGTAGAAAAGAGGTTCGTACTGTATGTCGGAATGCGGAGAGATTTTCCCGGTGACCTGTCAGGGAAGCATTCAAGGATGAAATCTTCCAAATGATGCAAAGATGTTCCCGCTCATTATGAGTCAGTGTCGACGAGAGAATGGGCTTTTTCTACTGCTGCCAGGCATCTCCACGGGCAGCAGCTCACGTGTTTCAGACGTCTGCGCTTCAGATTTTTCCAAAAGAAAGAAAGTATATTCCTCTCAGTGATCCCACCTTCATTCAGAAGGCAGACCTTGTCCGTCCTTCCCACTGGGAACCTTGTAATCTATTAAACTTGTAATCTCTGTTGGAGTTGATCGGACAACCAGGTTGAAACCATGTGTGTGTGTGTGTTGGGGGGGGGGGATCCATTCTTCTCTGGCGCGTACATAAAGGGGGGACAGTCGAAACAAGACGGAATCTCTCGTTCCTCCCAGGTGGAGGACTGTCGGTCCCCTCGACCACAGGCTATGTGGTGTCCTCCTCCTCTGAGCAGTAGTCCCGGCCCTGGACACAAACGCGCCCCGTCACCAAAAGTGCAACACGATACAGAGCGCTGCCGGGCCAGGGGTATTGAATTTCCCCCCACGTGGCCAACAGTGCAAAGACGAAGCAACATTTTTATTAAATATCTGCAGTGGGCAGCGACAGGGGAGGTTTGGTTTCTAGGGGAAACAGCTAAATAATCACAAATCCAACCGTAAGGAGGTAAGACGATATGACACACACAACCAAAAGACAGAGTGTGTTGAATAAGTGAAGTTTTTGCTGAGGAGAACAGCATCTTGCTAAAACTTGCTAAATCCCTGGCAGACTGGTGACCTGTCTCCAGTATTGGCTCCAAATATTTCTGATCTGGATTAATTCATTACTATATAAAACAAGTGGACATACCACAACCCTTAAAGCATTGATTATACAAGTCATTATAAAAATTATGGATGGATGGATGGATGGTCTAAGTGGAGTTTTTTTACACTAGGCTGAAGTGAAAGCAACAAGCAAAAGAGAAACCCACATTGTTTTTTCCATCACTAGACATTATTAAGACCGATACAGTATATATGTATACGCATATATGTATAACCATAATTCTGACCAATATAGTTTTTTTAGGAGATAGAGCGGTAAGTATATGTCTAAAGATACTCTGGACACTGAAGATGAGAGAGGCAGAGTCTGTTTTATGGCATCATTATATCATCTGCTGTGTGTCCTCACTAAATATAGATTTGCTGCAGCGATAAGATTAACCTCCACGATGCCATCTATCAGGGCCGATCTGCACAGAGAAGCGACACTTCCCTCATGATTTTTTTAATCTAATTTACCTTTTCGATCTTCTCATCCAACATCCGGAAGAATTCTTGCTGGCTCTCTGAGGAGTGGATGCTCCTGGGTGAAAGAGAAAGCGTGGCTTTAGTTTGTTACGATACAGGCCGGGACAAAGCCTGATAATGCTACGGTGATAATGGAAAAACTGCACCAGTCGGTCACACTCACAGAATCTTCCCGTTTGATCCCGATTCGTCCGTGTGCTGTGCTTTACCAAGGAGTGCACTTTTCTCCTGGAGGGATAACACACACAATCATCAGTCCAGGAAAGTTTTTTTCCCCCAAAATTTCTGGTGTTGTTGTGGTCAAATGTCTTCATCTATTAAATATTAGAAGATATTCCTTGTAATAGCTCATGTTGATAAATGTCAAAATGCTGAATTTTGTAATATAATTTCATTTTTTGGGAATACTGTATAACTATTTAATTGCAACTGAAATCTGCTATTTTTGTTTGACAATTTCAGACACAAGCGTAAAATAAACTATTTACTGGGCATTCATAGAAGTATCCTTTTCTTTCAGAAGAGCAAACAAACCTGGAACAGGACACCAAAAAACCCTCATAGAAAGTCGGGATGCAGGAAATAAAAGAACGAACATTTTTTGGGATATGTGAGTTACAGTTTTGGGAAGATTATACACTCATTCAATTACATTGGTGGGTAAGGGTGTCTTGATTCGTTATAAAACTATCCATCGAAATCTTATCTTTTCTGGACAAGAAATTACCAATAAGTTCCATAACTTATTTAGGTTTTCAGCACCTGCAGTGCTTAACTCTGTCAAATAATTGCAAATTTGGACAAATCCTCTTAAAAAGGCATACATGCATTCTGAATCAAGTTACAATCAAGAATATGTTAAAAATCAGAAAGATATTTCTAAAGTTGGCAGAACTATTTTACTACAGTACAGAAACTTGAACCATACCAACGTAAAGAATGTGGCCATTTTGTTGGGGTTGTATATATCCGTGGAATACTGTGAGGCTTGGACTTAAGTGTTTATTACATGTGTGGGTTGATTCAAAAGGGCAGATGAGGAGAAACTCCAGAATTATGTGTAATGTTTAAAAAAAAATCCTATTTGGGGAAATCTCAGAGAGTAAATAATAAAGACAAAACAAGGATGTGCAACGGTTTTGATCTCTTAAGGAGCTCTGTGAGACGGTGTAATGCAGCCCTATAGGCTGAGAAGTACCTAGGAAAAACATTTCCACTCAACCGTCTACCGCTGGATCCAGATATGTAACCTGAAACTGCATCACACAGAGAGCAGGCCATATGTCAGCTCTGTGCAGAAACACTTCTGAGACAGCGAGCGTGTGTTCTGTGTGCAGATGAGCCCACGGTTCAGTTACTTATGGCCGCGTCTGTGTCTGAAAGAGCTGGTTCTGCACGGCTGATTAGAGAAAAAAAACAGAGGGTGTGCTTGACACACCTGTCTGGAGTCCATATCCATCTCTTACTGTGAATGGAGCATCATGAAGGAACGGTCAAAACAACTAGGGACTGTTGAGCTAGTGAAAACATGCATTTAAGAAAATTGGGACATCTAATATCCTCAGTTGCGAAACATTTAGTAGTCAGCGTGATAAACAAGGTGAGGGGAATACGACAGTGAACAGTGAACGCACCTCTATCCCAGCTTTTTTTTTTGGGTAAGTGGAAACAGCACAGATCTTTTTCTTTGTACTTTTTCTTCGTACAATATTTGAAACTTAAATGCTAGTCTACAAAAATAAAAATTAAAGACTCCATAAAATCCATTTTTGAACCAAGTTTGGTTTGTATAGCGCATCTACATATCTGCCTGTCTACATCTCCTGTGATTTAAGTTTTGTGTTGTATTTTCTATCTAATTTTATTGGCAAATTAAACAACTAAGTACTTAATTAATTGTGATTCCGTGTGTATAAACAAATCTGAAAAATGTAGCATGAAATTGCTTGTGTCTTTGATTTCTCTCTTCTTCACTATTGTTGTAAGATGGTTTAAAAAAACAAAAAAGTTAAAAAAGCGTTTAGATATTCCATTAGAACAGTAAATAAAACACAAAGTAGAGCAAAAGGAAAAGGCGATACGCACTGTGCCATCGTGGCCGTCCACCCCGGCCTCCTCTCCACTGATATACTTGACTTTCTCCACTCCTTTCATCTTGTACTCATCTGTGGCAGAGAGGGAGACAGAAAAAGCAGAGAGGAGCACATCTCCTCCTATTAAAATCCTGGTGGCAACGGCGGGCAGATCGAGGACGAGTCGCTCGTTGCGGCCCCCTGATCAGCGCCGTCCTCCGAGGTTAACAGTTCTCACAGCTGAGTACTTGGCAAAGTAATTAAGTGCTTGGATTCTCACGCTCCAGACTAAATCCTCGCTCGACAATAGTTGGCAGGCGGCAAGACACATGAGCCGACGGGCCCATTCTCCTCTTTTTTCGGTTTCTCCATCATTCAGCCCCCACGCATGCACAGGCCCTCGCATCACCCCACTCCCACGCTTTTAGACGAGAGGAAATGGAAACACAGATTTTAGGCACCATACCGGAAAAAGAATGCTAGTACGGCATCGTTTTGAATCCAACATCACGCAAAGACGCACATTAAAAAGTGGTTTGGGGCTTGCATTCGTGCAAATGTGTGTCCAGCGGCTTCATTTCATCTGTAAAAAACGAGGTGGGGCGATCTCAGTGTCGTGATTATTTGTGCCAGATGTGGCACAAATAATGTGGCTTTGTTTTTGTGACACTGCTAATCTCCAGGGACTTTCACCACCACAGCCTAAAGTGGGAGAAACTAGGGGTTTTTTTAAATGAAGAGGTTAAAGGACCAGAGTGAGGCTGGTTAGGATGCACAGAAAGCGTTCTTTCCCCCTCCTACTTTTTGATTGTTGGAATTAGACATATATGTAATGGCCTATTCCAAAAACATGTGGTCCAGCAGGAGGCTGTGAGCATCCAGCTGAAAAGTCTGCATCTAAGTGTGTCAAATATTTAAAAAAATTAGAAGAGAATGACACCAAAAACTGAAACCCTATCAATATGCTATTCAAAATATTGTAATTGAAGTGCATTGTTCGAGAGCTGATGTGGAATAATCCATCCAAATACCCATTTCCGACCGTTCTGATGCCAAACATTTGCTGGTTCCAGCTTTTTTAATGGGAAAATGAATCTCTGTTAACCCTGCATTGGTGTTTTACCCCGATCACAGGTTGACAGCTCAATGAACAAATGTGTGAAAGAAAAAGATAACGTTCAGAGCTGGGCCTATATAAACATTACCAGCTACTTTCTTTAAAATTTTGATCCTGCACTGGTCCGATTTGTTCGTTCACAATCGCAACTACAACTGTCTTGCTTCCGTCTTTGAATTGAATGTCATCGCCCACTGAAAAGGCCCATGTGCATGATACCCATTAGCATGCATCATCTCTACTGACAGCCACAGAACATGTTGTTTGAGATATCACATGGAAGATTAGATTGAGACACGCCAACAAATGTGAAAGGGAAGCTATTACAGGAAGCAAGTGGCTGAAAAAGTTTTTTTTTTTAAAGCAGGACGAGCAAAGCTATCTTTAGCTGTTAAATTCAATTTTGTTTAGTTTACGTCATGCCAAATCACAATAAAGGCAATTGCTTGCAAGCAGTTATGCCAGTAGTGGCACTTTAGTTGTGATAATGTATGATGCGCAGAAACCGGATCTAGATCCAATATTACCATTTATCGATAATTACTATTCACGTGGTAGGGTGACATATTGGATTTATGACCGATCTAGCACCGTGAGTTGGCTCTGTGTTCATGCAAACATGTAAAACAAATCAGAAACGGCTGAAAACAACATCCAAAATCGGACACATTTAGCTTTAGCTACCGCTTGGTAATGTGAAGATGCTGTAGCATTAGCTCACATTATGACCATAACCTGAACACAGAAATGGGTCTGTGGGTCACATTTAGTGGGGCTCATCAAAAGTAAGTCCACACAAACATTTATTTTAGGATATTCTGTCACACTTTTTATATCTGCAAGACTATTTTATTCAAAACAGATATACAAACGTGCCGCTCTAGAAAAAAGTAACCAGGCATTAGCTCTGGTAATGACAATGCCTGTTGATTAAATGCCACTTGGGTGAAAGTCAGTTAGAGGAAGTGAGGGCTGACTGAAATTATTTTCAAAAGGAAGAGGTCACAGTGCCAAAAAAAAAAAAACAGAAATAGAAGAGAGACAAGGTCTCTCTCTTAGTTTCACTGTATCACAATACAAGTTTGTCCACATTCATTTGTGTCTATCCCACCGCTTTGCAAAGCTAAAAGACCAGCAGGAGCACCACAATAAACATCTGGGAAGCCTATACGTCGGCTACTTCTACGGCTGATGCGTAGTCGAGGCATAAATCTGTATAAATGAATAGATACTCGAGGTTTCTGCCTGTTAAAAGGAAGTTTTTCCTCGCCTGTGTCGCCTAGTGCTTGCTCATGGTGGGAATTGTTGGGTTTCTGTAATTAACTTCAGAGTAGGGTCTGACCTGCTCTGTTTGGAAAGCGCTGTGAGACAACTGTTGTTGTGATGTGGCGCTATATAAATAAAATTGAATTGAATTGAATAAAAACTTCTCAGATGTTGTCCAACATTGTCCCGCGCATGTTTCGATGGACTGTTGGGAGGGCGCACAGAGTTTAGAGTTGGCTTTTGAGTTCTGACGTCAGTGGAGGAGGTCACCATAATGACCTAAGACATAAGAGGGGGCACTCGTAGCTGGCACTGGTCCTTGTGGTCAGTAAATACTGAGCCAATTCTGCTTTTGTCTTTTATCTGTTCTGTTTTTGTGTCACTGGTCACAAGTAAGCTACGCTACTATGTCCAGTGGGTCTGCTCTGTTTGAGTATGCAGGAAAAAAAGGCATTCCCTCTTAAATCTCCATTTCGCAAGGCCTTCCAAAGCATCCGTTGCTCAACATTACTCACAAGTGTCATGACAGTGTTTAAATGTTTACGGCATTCTGTCGGATTGCCTCACACTTTGTAACGATTTATGTATTAATCTGTGGTAGAGGAGCAGGAATGTGTTGGTTAGACTTTGATTTAAATTGCAAGTTGTCCTATTGGCATTTTGTTTATTTATCTGAAAGATCCTTATGTATAGAAATGGCTCACTAGCGGGAGACTGATTAACTTTATAGATCACAAACTGTGTGTAGAAAGTGGCAGTTTTTTAGTTTTAGGCCCCGTTTTGTGGGTACGCAACTTTTATAAATGAGACCTCCAATCGGCCTGAGCAAATGATCTGATCAGTTGTTTGATGAAGCTACAATTCTTTACCTTCGGAGGATCTTACAGTTATCATCCATGTCCTGTGGAGCCCTGCAAAATAACCTGCTGCATCTAGGATTAACTCTCTATCGAAACTTACAAATAGTCAACACAGCTTTTGTTGAATTAAATGTAATGTAATGTTCAATGTATCCTGTAATTATCCATCAAATGTTGTCATCATTGGATGTCCAGGCCAACTTATATTGCTCGATTTTTGTTCATTTTGCACGTACTGGTACTAGTTTTTGTCTCAGAAGGAATTTTTTTAATTTATTTAGCAATATCCAAAGATGTTTTAATATTTTAGTCCAAAAACGTACATTGAAAGCTGGGAGCTCCGCTTTTTTCCAGAGCTGTACAGCTTTTCAAGATGGATGTCGGGCGTTCTCTCATTAAACCGTCTACATTTTAATCCCACATGGATCACATGACTGCAACCTAAATGTGTTTTGCCAATACAAAGGATTAAGAAACGTCATCCGGGAGAAGAAGTGCACAGAAAAAAATGGGAACCTTCGTGAAAGATTTAAAGAAGAAGGTATAGAATGAGAATGAAGAGACTGACCGGACAGGTCCCCGTTGCTGTAGGCTTTGTTCTGGCCTTCCTCACCGTTGGGCACGGCAGACACCTGCTTTGCAGAGGTGCAGCCCATCTCCTTCTCCTCAAAGGCTCTCCTCCTCAGCCCAGAGCATGATAGGCACACCTGGGGACAGGTACCAAGCCGGAAAGGAGTCCATTAAAAAGGTTATACCGGCACAACTTCTTATCCGTAGAACCCAATGACTGGAAGGGGTATCCTGATGATAATAATAATTTAAAAAGTATTCATTCTGCTGTGTCATGATGAAATCATTGTGATAATTATCCAAATAGTCCAGTGTAAAATTGTAATTTGTAAAAAAAAAACAGGAGGGAGAAAATCCTCCAGATCCCTGCATGGGAACCTCTGCCTTCATGATCAATTAGTCATGAAGGTCCCCACCCTGAGATTAAACCCGACAGGCCCTCTCAATCTATTCCGGGCGGGCCAATAAAGTGGATGATTCGGTCTTTCAGTGAGTCACGCAGGCGCAGGGGTGGGAAAACACCAATTACGAGGAGTGCGCGGCGGTGCCTGCTGCAAGCCCAACAATGAGGCCTTTCAGGACGCAGGGATGCCACCGTGCCAAGCCACCGGGTCATATTATCACAGACCGTGGGGATGGGGATGGGGTTAGGGACGGGGGGTTGGTGGTGGTGGTGGGGGTCTGTGGAGCTCAGAGGATTAAGCTTCTAGTTCCCCATCTCCTCTTTATCCTGCAGCGGGGCTGCAGCATTACCGGCACATTATCATTATAGGGCAACGCCAAAGCATATTAGGGGGGGGGGGGGGGATAATGGGAAAGGGTCCGCGATCAGGCTGGTCCCAAGCAGCTGCAGAGTCAGCTGCTCGAGACCCATCACTATCCTCCCTGTACTGCTGTTTGGGTTTAACATTTACTCCTGTAAACCCCACCGACGCGCACAGAGGATCGCTGCGTTATTTCGGGCAGATGTGCGCACAATCCCCCACCACCCCCTGAAACTGTGAAACGTTAACCATCTGCCCCTTTTTTCCACCACGGAAGAGAGGGGGGGGGGTGTAGGGATACCGACTCCTACGTTTTAATAACAAAAGGTGCGAAAAGAGCAGCCGTCCCAGTCGCCTGGAGAAAAAAAAAACCTCCAGATATAACAGCACGTTGCTCCATCGGAAATGAATCATCGGGCTTTTAAATGCGGGGTTGCGGGGTTGAAATTACCTTTCTGGTGAATCCATGGCTCGGGGGATTCTTCCACTGCTTTTAGTCCAGACGGAGGACCCTCTCAGACAGCATCTGCATGTCTCGGGCTCAATCAGCAGTCAGTCGGTCCGTCTGCCCGCTGTCTGCTCGCAGCGCACAAGCTCACCGTCTCGCCCCTTCCGTCGATCTGGTAACATACAGCGAGTCGATTAAATATATCCAAAAAAGTTTGTTTGAAGGTAAACGTTTTTCAGATGACAAAGTTAAGCGATGCGTGTTTTCCGCACGATTTAAAGAAACACGACATACTCGTTCGCCGCGCTGCGGGTTGCCAGTCGGACCCGATTGGCCTGCGCACCTCACACTTCCGTCCAACACATTCCGCCCGGATCGTCAAAGTAAACGGCAAACATACGTCTTTATTTTTTTTTTAAGTCAGTCGACTCGAATTGTAGCGAAACTTGCTGACCCCCGCCAGTATGATTCTACTAACAATAATCGCCCGCGTAGCGGACGGACTTCCGCTGGCTGCGTCCATCCAGGAGGACGAACAGGTATGAATGAGAACTAGCTTCCTCGCATAGCCCAACTGTAAAGGGAGTTACCCACCAAACTCCATTCAAAACTTAATGTCTTCACCATGCTAGTGAACTCGTTTGGAAATAAATGCGTAGCTAAAAAGAAAACAACTAAGGAAAAAATAAGTAAAGTCAATTCAGTAGAGGAATAAAGTGCAAAAGTTAACTTGGTGTGAAAAGCTTCAAGTTCTAAACTTTGATGTCCAGTCTGTTAATTAGTGGAACTTTTATGTAAAATGGTCGAATAATGTCGTCAACGGTGGTGAAAAAAATACTTTAATTTATTCAGGGGCTACTCGATGTTTTGAAAGATGGACTGAATGGAAATTAAATGTATTTTTCATTAATATAACTAACATAGTATGTCAGTGGAGATGTGAAATCAGATTATAGTGGGATGTAGTTGAATGCTGTCTGTGCCTGCTACTGTAATGAAAAAAAGTAACAATTTTTTTCCCAGAAATGTTCCCTATGAAAGCTTTTTTATACTTTCCTGTCTGTGCTTATAGTATTTTTTTGGGGTTGTTGGTTCAATTCCCTGCTGCACTTGTCTTTTTACTGCATTTTAGAACAAGAACTTCCTTTTTTATTTTTAGGTTTAACCAATAAATTGGGAAATTGACAGCATTTTATCACATGTTGGCGCGATATCTGGCTTTTGTGTAGCTTCGAACCACTCAGTGTTGTAATGTTTGTTTGGATTTTTAAAGAAAAATCACCTACATCATTAAGAAAAACGTAATAACTCAGTTCGGCCTAAAATAATAATAAAAAACACATTTTGAACTGTGTGGATTTCACAGATCAAAGTATAAAGATGTCAGACAAAGGTAGACAATGTCCTTTCTTTTGATTAATTAAAGTATGGCTTTTAACGTTCAGCGATTTTACGACTAACAACTATTATATGTATTCTTTCTTTTCGCTCTCAGTCAGGCAGAGACCTGCAGCAGTACCAGAATCAGGCCAAACAGCTTTGCCGCAAGCTGAACTCTCAGAGTCCAGACCGCTGTACGTTGGAGGCCGGACCGCTGAGCTTCCAGTAAGAAGCAAAGCCCCGTAACCACGTGATTTACCCTACAAACGCACCTTAAACCCATTGGTTTGGAATGAAATCTCTTTCAGCTATTTGATAGCCCAGGGAGTGTGCTACCTGTCCCTCTGCGAGGCCTCCTTCCCTAAAAAGATGGTCTTTGCCTACCTCGAAGACCTCCACAACGAGTTCTATGACCAGCATGGACGAAGAGTGCCCACCGTGACGCGGCCGTACTCCTTCATTGAGTTTGGTGGGACTGTTTAAGGTTTTTTGTGCCTCACGTATGATAGTATGTGTTCTTCCATCTACAGAAAGACCAAAAACCAAAAAGATAACATAGGTTTTAATGTTCTTCCAGACACATACATCCAGAAAGCAAAGAAGTCGTACGTGGACAGCAGGGCCCGGAGGAACCTGGGCAGCATCAACACGGAGCTCCAGGACGTCCAGAGAATCATGGTGGCCAACATCGAAGAAGTTCTGCAAAGAGGGGAAGCCCTTTCCGGTGAGGTCGTTGGCGGAAGGAGCGACGTTTTTCCGTATCGGGAAACGGAACGGTTCATTCACGAGGGGGGGCTTTTCTTCCCCTTCAGCTCTGGACACCAAAGCCAGCAACCTGTCCAGCCTGTCCAAAAAGTACCGCAGCGACGCCAAATACCTCAACACCCGCTCCACCTACGCCAAGGTGGCCGCCGTGGCCGTCGTCCTGGTCACGCTCGTCGTCTACGTGCGCTTCTGGTGGCTCTGACGACGCCTCACCCCCCCCTCGAAGCGTTTACGGCCGATGAACGTCTCAAACACCAGAGGTGCCTCCAGGGTGGCCTTTCCTCGTCTGTCCACGTCAAAGGCAGATGGTCTTTCCGTGCTTTCCTCGTAGCTTCGGGGCAACGCCGCTTACTTAGCGTGAACTGAGCCGTAGGTCTGGAAACGGGGCCGTTTGGTTTACCGGAAAGGAATGTTTTATCAGAAGTCCAGCTGCTTTGTTCACTGGAAAAGTGCCGCTGAACCAAATAGAGGTTTCAGTAAAAATGAAAAAGCTTGAGCTGAGATTCTGCCGACAGTCTTCAGAGTGGGATCACTCAGATCTGTTGTTTACAAAGTTTACACGATTGTAAAAAAAAAAATTCCATTCTTATTGAAAATATTAAATATTTATCAAACTGTGAGGGAGATGAGATTTGGTGAAGCATCACATTGAATCAGGGTGTGTGCTTTAGTAGTGCACACTGTATAGAGCCCCAGAGCGGCACAGAAAACACAATCAAGTCAAAAGTAGCACAGTCAGGTCAGAAAAAACACATCCAGGTCAGAAAAAGACACGCATGTAAAAGCAGCCTCTGTGAATGTAAACGTGACATTTGCTCGTAACATAAAATCATTAGCCAGATGCATCACCGAAGCCTAATAATAGAGAAAAACATGCTTTTCATGTTTTCATCAGTATTTTTTTCACGTTTTTCTATTTCAGTTTTTTTCCCAAAACTTGCTAAATTCATTCTTTCTAATAAACTCTTTTGTTTTTATTACAAATTCTTCATATAACTGCAGCTAAGTATCACAGTCATAGAGCTCCTAATTAGCCTTGTTTTAAAAACAAGGAACCACAATAACTGGCTTTTCTAGAATGAGAATGTTAAGTGTAGGAAAGCAGAATGAAAAGACGGCCGAAAATTAAATCTGCTCATCTGTAAACATTTCCCACCTCTGCATTTGTTTGTCGCATCGGTTGATGCTTCCTGTTACTTTTTTTTTTTTTAGCTTCAATCCTTGATTCCCGACCTGAGAACAAAATAAAACACCACTTTCTCTGTTCCTCACTGGTATCCTCATTTTTACATTTGGTCAAATCGACCTATGTTTTGGTTTAACCTCCATGCCTTTATTTGATGTTCGTTTGGTTTTTTCTAGATATCTGGGATCAGTAGGACCTATTAAGTTTAATAACTAGACGTTTGTCATGGCACAGGTAGTTTTTCTTCATACAGGCTCAGTGGGTTTATCTAAAAATAAGATTTAAAATATTTGTTTGAATATTTAATTAAATGTTTTTGCAATTTGGTTCTGTGGGTCCAAATGACTTATTTACAACATTTTGATTACACAATAAGAACACGATTGGTTGAAAATGCTTAAAACCATTTGCTTTAGATTTCCAACAGTAGTGTCTGATACCATCTAGTATGAGGCCAAAAGGTCAAAGGTCAAAGAAAAAAGAAGCATCACGGCAGAGGCAGAAATGCAACGTCCTCATATGAGGACGCAGACTCTCAGGCAGTCAAATATTCAGGGCTATTTACTTGTGGTGTTAGCCATGTTCAATCATAGCTTGGGAAATAAAAAGCTTTTAAAAAATCAGACTTGTGTGTGTCCAATTTCACACTAGTTGAGATTTATATAGAATCTTCACACGACTTGAAAAATCTTGCATGAAGATTTTAACCCTTTAAAGCCTGATCCAAGAATAAAACAAAACAGATATTTTCTTTTTTTTTGTTTGAATTCCTTATTTGGCCTTTTGACAAAATATGTAAAAAGAAAAAACAAATATACATTTTTAATATTAAGAATTTATTACTAAGTCAAGAATATTTTTTGTGTAGTCTTCTGCCCCCTGTTATCAAGTGTATCTAATGGTGTACAATAGGATTTTGAGCAAAGTTTTTACCATTAAATTATGCAAAAGGTGTCAGACGAAAAACATTTTATAAACTGTATGTATCAAATATGATACATTTGGTATTACAGGGTTAAATAACCAAGTCGTGCATCGTTTTATGTTGAGGAGAGAGCACCATCATGTCAGGGGCTCTTTAGCTATGTGCATTTAAAACAGCCTCTGCAAAGGTGAAGTTGGGGGTTTTTTTCTTTGTAAAAAATCTAGAAATGGGGTGAAGCAAGCAAAGAAGATACAAGCAACAGAGCTTACAGAGGAAACGAATCCCAGCGCCTCCATGGAAATTATTCTTCTGAAATGTGGTCTTCTAAGAAGTCTGTTCCTGGTTGATAAATTATGCAGAGGCTTTCGGGGAGTATTTCCTTCTGTGGGGTCACTGGTAGTGCGTTCTGTGAATCACTTATGATAAAGAATAGAGGTGCTTTCATTTAAAAACTAAAAACACCATTAAGTGATCAGAAATAGAAGAATATAACCTCGAAAGCTGATCCTCCACAATTCAGACTGTTCATATAAATGTCTAAAACTAAATAAATATATTTATATTTATATGCATGTGAAATTGTCTTTAAGAAACATTGTGGGACATTTTTATGTGCGTCGTTGTGACACCCGAGATGTTTTTCATATTCTGGAAACCCAGACGTCCTTATTTTGTGTCCCTCTCCCACACAAAAACTGCAGTCCTTCGTACAAAAAATGTTTTATTAAACAACAAACAGACTTTTTACCCACTTATTTCAATCCACAAGCATTTGTTGTATGGAAGGAAAAAACAAAAAAAGAAAGCTTTGAGATTATTTGTAGAGGACTGAATTCACAATAACAGCAGAAATATTCAAGTGGCTCAAAAACACATTAGTAGGCTAAAATTAAATGCAACATTTTGTATTTTCATTTTAGTTTTCTATTAGTGCACTTTTGCTTTAAAACAAACCATTTATTTGCTTTATTTTCTGAGTCACTTTAGTCTTATTTTTGTGCCGTTAATACTTTTCTCTGGAGTTTTTTTTTAGCTATTTCTTCCCCAAAACATGTATTTAAGCCATTTATTTAGACTTTTATTATTTCTCTTTTACTGATAGATGCCTTTCGTCTTTCATTTCTTACATTGATTTCCTTAACCTGTTATTTTCCGACAAGTCTAATTATGTAAATAAGGTTGGTTGATTGAAATGGCTGATCCTTCAACTGTCTTTGAAATAAAACTTTAAAAAGTCCAGTGAATAAATTACAAAAAAATAAGAACATGTGATAAGCATGTGGTAAATTAAATTCTTATTAAAGCAAAAGTATTTATCGGAAATCAGACTAGAAATATAAAATCTTGTTGCATTTATCACTTAATTGGTGCATTTTTCCTATTCTGATTTATTTATTCATTGAGCCATTTAAATATTTCTGCTTTTTTTCCCCAAATATGCCAGTCAGTCCTCCAGAACCACTAACTTGGTTCAAAAACACGTGTAAAAGTGGACAGTCACTATGACTAAGTTCTTTTTTCAGGAGCCTAATCCACCAGAATTAGAAGATTCCGCACCTCAGACGTTTTCATTTCCAGTCTTTGTGTGACACCGCACACCATTTTTACAGCTTCTGCTTTCACGTGCATGATCAGCTGTCAGTCCACAAAACTTCATTATCACTACAGACTTTGACAGAAGCTTCACGAGCAGTGTGCCGTGCTCCGGTTTGATCAGAAGAATGAGTCTTTTTTTAAATGTATTTCCCCCAGTGACCAGATCGGAACCGCTGGTGGTTCTGGCTCCTCTCAGCCAAACTTAGGCGATCAGATCAAAGTCGTCCCTCTGCAAGACAAGACGCACCGGTCAGATTTCCTTCGGTGAATGTCGGATTTAATTACATCCTGATCAATTCTCACATACGAGAGAAATATTGGGAAACTATAAAACCGATGAGGCAATTTCACAGCAGAATAACTAAAACTAAAGACTAAAAATATGTAAACAAATGTTTACCTTTAGCCTTATAAGGCTAAAGTTTGTTGAAAATGATTACAGAACAGTTGTTTGAAGACAGCTGAGCCTGTCAAAGAGTTTTCAAGTTTCCCGATGACACAGCTGCAGCATCATTTTAGGAACATTTGTTTACATATTTTCCTAAAATGATGCTGCAACTGTTCTGTAATAATTTTCAACAAACTTTAGCTTTATAAGGACCTACAGCGGTGTTAATGTGCATTGTTAATATGCAGTAAGTGGTTTTCAAAATAAATTTTAACATGAAAGTTTCAATTCCCCAGATGTCTTGTCTGAGGTTGTTGAAAAGCTTGATTTTATATTGTTGCACTCTGACGCACATTTCTTTATTCTGGTCCGAGCCAAACTTCTGCAAAGATTATCTGCGTTTCCAGCATTTTGTCAACAGGCTCACTCACCTCGTCGTTATAATTCACGACATGCTGTTTGATCTTCGAGGAGTCCACCCAAGTGACAAAGTCTTCCATATTTCTGTAGGACAACAGACGTTTGGAGCAACACCGTCAAAATTTCATATTTGAAGAAAACGCTGCACATTGTTTTTAAATCAGATGGTTGGTACAAAAAAACAAAAAAAGAGTTAGAAAGTCAAACAAAAAGGAGGCAAACCTTGTCACTAGAAATGCTGGGTCTGTCACGATATCTGGGCCAACACGCACATCTGTCAAGAGTCAAGGGGGGATGAACCACAAAACAATTCCCATTCCTGGACACAACAATTCCATTTAGTCGAAATTCAGAACATGCAACAAGCAAGAAGTTAAGGATACGGCCTTGTTCGATGAAAGTAATGGCTGTCTTTAGGTTCTGAGCCATGCGAAGGCTCAACATGATACTGGGCAGCCTCCTCCTGTCAAAGAAAAAAAAAAGCCAGCTGGTGAGTTATCAGCCTGACAGGTAACTGTCTCCTTCATCTCACTCCGACTTTACAGTGTCCTCGCCTGCAGAATGAGGAAGCTGTGACTTTCTCTGTGAGGGCCAGGTTCTGTTTGGTGGGGATGAGGCCGATGCTGTACCTAAATAACCGTGTAAAGAAATAATAAAAGATTAGAAGAGAATCATATGCAAGCTTCCATGCAAGGCTTGTTGCCATTTCCAGAGAATACCTACAGTTTTTCTAATAATCGGTGAGAGCTCTGAGCTCTGAAGCCATCCTTCTCATCCAAGTCTCGAATTTTCTGAGCAAGGTCTCTGACGTTACGACTCAGCTTGTTGTACCTATGAGGGGGCGAGAAAGTCGTTTTTCATTATTTACATTATTTCAGCTATCAAATTCTCCAAAATGTTCCATATGTCCAGTAACATATACGTATTTGGATCACTTAAACTGCCCATTAACAAAGAAATCGTTTCAGATCCGACACGAGTTACAGGAAACATTGAGTACAAACTGAATAAGCTTAAATATTTTTTACTCAAACAACAGCAATACGCCAGTTTGGTTCTTCTTTATTATTCATAAACTGGTTTTACCACACTAAACTCGGCTTTAATAGCACAAATGACAACAAAGAAGATCAATGAAAGCTGTTTTTCGGCGGCCCAGATGCTGTCAACTCACTTGGTGTAGTCTTCTCTCTTCTCGATGTGAAACTTCCTCAGCACCTTTACCTCGTGCATGTTGTTGTCCACCTCCCAGTTTATAAAGTCCACCTTCTTCAACAGTTTCTGTTCATGGTATTTCAGTTTACGAACCATTTTTATTCCTTTACCTGGCGAACTGTTTACCAGTCAGGCTCCTCTACAAACAGGCAAAGGAAAAACCGGAAACACGTGTTGTGCCGTTCTTCTTCGTCTTCTTTTACCCACCAGTTTAACCGGCAGGTTAGAAGCTAGCTTTAATTAGCATTAGCGCCACCCTCTGTGTTGGAGTGTAAATTTACGTTAGCTACCTTCTTGCTAAATAATCACAGAAATAAAGAAAACGCAATCCATCTCCTTTAAATAATGAAATACTGCTCCTTCCTTCAAATCTGGAAAAATACAAAGAAAACACGGGATACATTTGAAAATTACGAGTATAATTTCTTCTTCTTCTGCTACTTCTTCTGCTACTTCTTCTTCTTCTCAATTTAAAATGTAGGACTAAACTGGCTCTTGAAATGCTCAGTTATATACCCATTCAAATATGAAAAAGAATCAAGACTGAGAAAGAATAATTGTAAAATAGCAAAGTCCAAGTAGCATCCTTTATTTGGAAGACATACACCAGCATGGTCACTCATGTCCTCATCAAATGCGTTTCTCTTTGAGGCCTAACTGATTTCCCATACTTTGACATACAGTAACCATTCGAACTTTAAATGGGCCACAAGGCTTTAGGTTGTTACTATATGCCTCATCACTTTGTTATATTAAAACTGTTTTGGAAAAATCAAAAGTTCAAAATCAGTTAGTGTTGAGATGTGACACACTCCTGCTGGTAAGCAGCAAACAGCTTCCTTTACTTCCATAGCATTTACAAATTATACATCAAAACGTTGCCAATGTGACCACAACTTGATACTATACGGTTCAGCTTCTTGTTAAATCTCCATTTTACCTGGATTCAAATGTGCTTGTGCTTCTGTTCTGCCACTTTTCTACCCAGACTGAGTGATATTTTGACAACAAATCTTTCTCCTGTTTGTTTTTCTATCATAAATAAAAAATCAACGTCCTGCTGATTCAAAATACATGTTCAAATACATCTTTGAACAGGCTGACTGAGACATTTGTTAAACAATTCTTCAAGAAGTGATTTTTAAGTGACACCATCCATGCAAACTATTGTCCGTGCAATATTTTTAATACAAAAAAGCTCTTAGTCAAACATTGTGTTAAATAATTTACCTGCACTATTCATGAATGTTTTAAAATGTTATTTATTTTTGTTTTAACATGATTTGCAATATTCCCCTGTGAATATTGCTTCACTCTCAGTCAAATGCTAAGTCCATCCACCATTGCTGCTTCAGGTCCCAATTGATGAATATATTAAAACACCACATAGGGAAGAAAGCAGAGCCTCCATATTTACAGTCTTTGGTGCCAAGTTTGAATCAATTACTGTCTAAAAAAAAAGTAAGAATCGACCAATTTAGATTCTCATTTAGAGTTAATTCCAGTGATTGAAACACTGATCTAAAAAAGTACACGTGGAACTTATTGATCCACCTGTTTACCAACGAGGACTCAGGTATGCCAAATGGCACAAGAAGCCGAGAGAAAAACGATCAATCCTCCCCACGTTTACTTAAACGGTGAAACACAACCTCCACTTTGTGACATTTCTGTGAGCAGACGTCACCAACATTCTGGACTATAACGGGACATGACAGGGGTCCATTCATGAAATATAGGGGAGGAGGGATTCCTTCCCCGTGAAAAAAAAAAAGAACTGAAGAACGACTGCTTCACCTTCGGTTTTTAAATGACACTTCCATCGCCTCAGCTGTTGGTTCTTTGCAATTTGCAGCGGAATTAACGCCCTAAACGTGTCTATGAGGGTCAGCACGAGGAGTGTGTGAGCGCGTGCCGTCCACGTCCACGCGGAGCACGGCCCGGCAGGTAAGGCTCTCCAACGGCGTGGGTGTAAAGAATGAATTCATTCTTCCAGGCAACGGGAGGGGAGGGGGAGGGTGTTGGTCAAGTAGTCATTGCTTTAACTTAAATGTACTCTCTTTACTGAATATCGACTTTAAAGAACGCTGAATTTCAGTGAAGCATTTTTTAAAACTGAGGGCTAAGATTCCATAAAGAATACTCAATCATCCAAGAGAGTTGCAGTTTGACTGGTTAAAGATATGTTTTCATAATGTACAGACAATTCCCAAATAAATAAATCAATAAAAAAAAAAGAAAAAAAGAAAAAAAAAAGAAAAGAAAAGAAAAAAAAAATATATATATATATATATAATTCGAATAATATATATTATTCAGAATAAAAAATCAATATGGTTTCATTCGATGCATTGTCAGATAAAGAATTCAGTTTTCTCAAATACACAATTGAATGTCTGAATGTCATAATAAGTTACTGTTACCTATATTGGTTTATGATTTAGGCTTTAGAATAATCCACATATTTTCAGCACACTTCTCTTTTCCTCTTTTTCCCTCACTTGCTGTTTAGTTGAGCTGTATGGTGGCTGGCACTGTCCCCTCAGCTATAGTGATTGGGGTTTTTTTCTGCGTGGAATTTGCATCCATCTCACACATATGGCTTAACCCCATGAATGAGTATATGTCTCTCTGCTGGTCCGTTGAAGGACATGCCTGCCTTTTCCCTGATAACATGTAGAATAGGCTCCAGATTTCCTTTCCGACAGCCCCCTCCTCTAGACCTTTTAAAAGAAATTCAACAGACATATGACATCACAGAGCTGGTGATAAAACACAAAAACAGGATTGCATACATTGAATACATTAAAACACATTGTTTGAAAGTGAGTTTTTACCAAAGGCTTTAAAGGATCATGTCTGAATATTTTTCATGACTTGGAGAGAGTTCTCAAATACTCTTAACTTACCTTTTAGTTGGCACTTGCCGGCATGGTGTGCTCTTAAGAAAATAGGAAACTGGACAATGGTGGTCAAAAGAATGGCACATGGTTGTGTTTTTTAAGAAATAGAAAAACATCCAAGACCTTAAAGATCATTTTCATGTATAGATCTACCATTGGCCTAAAACTTTATTACAGACCCCATAAGTATCTTAGTTAAACTGTGACAATAAAAAAACTATTCTTATGTTTTATATCAGATTATTATATCATTCATATGTATTTACTTTTAAATTCGTAACGCTTTGTAATGGGGTGTTGAGCTATTGCTGATAAATATATATATTGTTTTTTGTTTTTCTTTTTGTAATTTCTGTTAGTGATCACTTTTTGTGGTAAAAATTGATATGTATGTATGTATGTATGTATGTATGTATGTATGTATGTATGTAT